TAATCTGTCTGGATCCAGGGTGTTGTGTTCTGGATGTAAAGCTGAGCAATGGAGACAATACAAGGGTACCATTATGTTAGTGGTTCCTGTTGAAAATAGTCAGGCCTCCTGTACCCAGTAGCACACAGTGCCTGTCTGGTCAGAAGTCCCAGTTGTTTTGTTTGGAGACTGTATGTAGTATGGATTGGAAAGATGTAACCCCTAAATCTTTAGTAGCGGGGACACCAAGAAGGTGTGACAAACCAGGCTTCTGTTCTCTCAAGAGCAGACATAGCATTCAGACAAAACCTGTGTGGCGTCCCTGGTCTGGAGCTATATCACTTGGCCCTCCCATCTGCCACTTCATCTTTATCTGTGTTCATAGTAGAGCTTGAAGAGGTGAGGCACCACTAGAAATGACTTCCTAAGTCCAAAGCAATACTTTGACATGCAGCAGCATCAAAGGAGCGCTGTTCCAGCACATTGACCCAACACAGTAACTATTTGTGGTAAATTATCAAGATGTATGAACCTGTACATATCTCTCTTTGAAACTCCCTCACATTTTATCCTCTTTGATCATCCCATCTGTACTCTGTAGGAAACTCACCTGCCACACACTTATGCATTCACTTGAGTTGAATACTACTTCTACCTTAAACTCCTCTAAATTATTTTATTATTCTTTTTATTTCTTGGTACTAAGGATTGAAACCAGGGGCACTTAACCACTGGACCATGTCCCCAGCCCCTTTTATTTTTAAACAAGGCTTTGCTGAGTTGCTTAGGGCCTCACTGAATTGTCAAGGTTGGTCTTGAACTCCTGCCTTAGCCTCCCAAGTCTCTAGGATTACAGATGCATAGCACCATGCCCAACCTTTAGCTCTTCTAGAACATTCATTTACTTGATAGAAAGAGAAAAGAAACTGGACTGAATTCATATATCAAATTATTGTCTCTTGGCAAGGAGAGGAGGGGAAATATAAGGGTTAGGAATACCATACCGGTGCCTAGATGTTGCTTCTGAATGCTGCAAGTACAAAAACCATGGCAAGTCTGTTGGAGACCTCTGCAATGCAGACTCCCGGGCGATGGGGCCCAAGATCAGTGATGAATGTAAGCAGTCACTATACTCTTCTTCTGATTGCCCCTCCCATTTTGTGGTGTTTAATATATAAAAATTGAGGAATCATTTGTCATGTAACCCCCTTCGCCCCCGCTCCCCTAAAGAACCATCATCTTTTTCTAAGGGGTCTCAAACAAACAGGTTACAGTGAGAGGCCTCCTACTAGGCATGAGACTCCAGGCCTGTGAGCCATCAGGCTGAGAGAGTCTGGCCTTATAAATCAGGTTTGCCAGCAAGCTACTGCTGTTGTGACATTCCTGTCTTCGTGGGAAAAGGCCCCTTTGTGATCTTTTGGTTTTGTACCTTAGTGTTCAGAATAAGGAGCCCAAGGCCAGGAAGGGTCAAGGCTGAACCTATATCTCTGGTGTCCCAGTTTGGACTCTGTGCACCTTCAGCTTGCTTCCTGTTCATTTCATTCCATTCACTGTATTTGCATTAAATGTCATGTTGCCTTCATGACTGCTGCTCCCTTTTTCTCTGTAAATATTAATATGAAGTATGTTTTCCTTTGCTTTGCAGCCTCGCCTGCCCCCTGTGTGTCCAAAATAGCCAACTGGAATTCATGAGAATGTTATGTTTTTAGATGTTTATAACCAAAAGAATCCCTTATGGTTTTTTATAACAAAACAACTTGGATGTGTGTATTTTGTGTTGGAAAGGCGAGCCAAGTTCACAGTGCAGCAATTACAAGGCAATGCATTATGTATAATTTGTAGCCTGACCTAGGAGCAATAGTGAGCTGTGAAACACCATCCTGGCCCTACAGCATAATTAGCAGGATCATACGCTGTACCGAGAAAAGTGCAATGGTTGTCATCTGAGGTAAATAAAAGTAAGGAAAAGTTCTTATATAGGCAGTACACTCAAAATTATATAAAGACCAGTCCCTATATCAGGCAGCAGATATGTCAAGAGCCTTCATTGCTAATTGAAGAAACCTTTTGAGGTTTAGCAGCTCATAAATTTACACTGGGAATTGCCCCATTGTTCTGAGGTTATAAGTGTTGTCTTTGAAATTTAACTGATGTACTTTTATATTGCATTCCTCCAGTAGTACCACTGTAAACATGAAGGGCTTACATTTTAGCATAAATTTGAACAGTGTGGTTTTAAAAGAGTTACCACATCAAACAGAGGCTGTTTGGGCATGTTGTATAAATTCTTTTCTCTATAGTATTTAAGGCTACAAATGACTCATAGAAGTATGTTCCATTTAGATCAGTCAAGTTGGTAGAGTGTCCTCCCTAAGCTTTTGCTACCCTAAGAGAATTTTATTTTGCCTCAAGAGAATTATCTGAAAACAGGTCTAGACCTTTTGCCAAGTGAGATGCCCTTAATCAAATGTCGTTAGATCTGCAGAAATAATTCTAGAAATACTGTACTTGATATAAACAGCAACAAATCATATACTTCTTCATGGCCTTCTTTTAAAAAAAAAAACCTCAAATATTCACAGTAACAATTTGCTGTCTCCTCCTCCATGCCAATTACAGCCCTTCTCATACCCTCATAGTCTCCATTCAAAAAACAAACAGGAAAAAAAAAAAACGCTAATATTTTGCCATGCCTCTGTCAAAGTGAGGCAAGATCCAGAGCAGATTATGCTAAGTGAAGCTAGCCAATCCCTAAAAAACAAATGCCAAATGTCTTCTTTGATATAAGGAGTGTAACTAAGAACAGAGTAGGGACGAAGAGCATGAGAACAAGATTAACATTAAACTGGGATGAGAGGTGGGAGGGAAAGGGAGAGAGAAGGGAAATTGCATGGAAATGGAAGGAGACCCTCAGGTTTATACAAAATTTCATACAAGAGGAAGTGAGGGGAAAGGGGAAAATAATACAAGGGGGAGAAATGAATGACAATAGAGGGGGTAGAGAGAGAAGAGGGGAGGGGAGGGGAGGGGGGATAGTAGAGGATAGGAAAGGCAGCAGAATACAACAGACACTAGTATGGCAATATGTAAATCAATGGATGTGTAACTGATGTGATTCTGCAATTTGTATATGGGGTAAAAATGGGAGTTCATAACCCACTTGAATCAAAGTGTGAAATGTGATATATCAAGAACTATGTAATGTTTTGAACAACCAACAATAAAAAATTAAAAAAAAAAAAAAGATCCAGTAGTAAAGGGAAAAGTGTGGGCAGAGTTTCCAAAGCAACATGAACAAAAGAACAGGACTGAGATCTGACCTTGGATTCCAGGGCTCTGAGACCTCAGGAAGTCCTTCCTCAGAGTTCATTCTTTCCCCTAAAATGACAGTGGCCATTAATACTCTCCATCCCTCTTCCTCCCTTCCATTCCAACATTTGTTCATTTCTTTGTCCATCCCAAGAACACAAACCCTCGTAGTTCTTGCCTCTGTAGCACTTACAAGCAAATAAGGATGAATCTTAATGAAATAATCAAGTTCATGAGTAGTCACCAACTGTGGTATCATACATGTTGAAGAAAGAGGATCAGTCCTTTAAGAGTCTCATGCAAAGGACCCTCATTGGGCCGATTGAGGATTCATTTTCCTAAGAATGTGGTATTTGCACTGAGAGCTGAAAGAAATGAAGCAGAGGAGAGGGAGGCTGTGGGAGGTAAGGTGAGACAAAAGCGAGCCTGGCCTGGGCCAGCAAGGAGGCCAGCAGCCATACCATGTAGGACTTTATTTTCAATTTAAAAGAATTTTTTTCTTCTAAAATAAAATGAAACCTTTGAAGGGTTTCAAGTAGAGGAGAAAGTTGATGGGAGCTGTATTTTTTAAAAGCTTTCCTGGCTATTGAGTGGAGAATGGCTGGTGTGAACACTGGAGCAATTTTTGGAGATCATTTAGGGACCTAGGTCTGGTCTAGGCTCACCATACAGGTGACTCGGAGTTGGTGACAGGGAAAATGGAGAGGAATGAACAAATTTAGGGGATGTTGAGATTAAAATGACATGTTTTGGTTATGGGTGGAATTGTATGATTTGGTGATAAATGGAAGAAGAGTGTGTCCAGGATGACTCTAGGGTTATGGCGTATGTGGCTAACTGGATGGACAAGGGACACATTCCTAGCTGGGGCAGGGATTATTAGTATTATAGGTACCATTTACTTTTGATTGCTTGGGTCTAGGTGCTGGACCTCTTTAATTCATTTGGTCTTCAGAACACATCTATCAAGTAGATCTCTACATTGTACAAATTGAAAAATAGAGGATCACTGTAAGAAGTTACTTGTCCAAGGACACAGAATAGGGGCAGAGTCTGTCAAGATCAGATAGCTCCCTTTGGCTGCAGGGCCAGGTAGCAGAAGGGCAGCTTTGTACAACTCCAGCATCCACTCCTGGTAAGTAAAGTTTGGATTATGCAGAATAAAATGAGTGGAAGAGTAAAGAAGAAAGCCAAATGATATGAGAAGACCACCAAGAGACATAGGACTTTGTTCCACCTCTTGGAGCTGTTAGGAAAACCATTTTCCCTTTGGACTTCAGTGTCCTAGCTCAGAAAGAAGCAGGTTAGAACCACCATCCCAAAAGCTCCACTGCCCTCTGAAAATCTGGATTTTAGGATCTCCTGAATGCACTGCATGAAAAAATCCCTCCCACGGTGATCAGGTCCATAGTTTCTTTCTTAAAACCCTAAATAGGCCTTTCGGTACCTGCTTTTTATTTGACAAAACCACATATTTAGGTATTTCCCAAGTTGTTCAGAGACAATGTGTTCCTCCCTCTTATCCAAGTCTTCAGTTATTCAAGGCGGGCCTATTTCTAGATTCCTAACTTGGAATTTAAAGTTTAAAACAGTTAGTTCTGGTGTCTCCCTTTCCATTGGCAAAATAAGTTTGATTTTACCAGAAATTATTAACAGGCATTTAGGAGTAATTCATTTTTATTATTATCAAATACCTCTCCATATCATAGACCATTTTAAAATCATTTCTGAGCTTAATTCTAACTCAGTTGAGACACTTGGAGAGAGGCTCTTTTAAAAGTGTAAAAGGTCTGCGAAAGCCCCTGGGGTCTTCCTAAGGCTGGGAGGGCTCCTTTCCCAGGGCTGCCCCTTGCCTTTGTAGATTAGCACATACATACACACAGACATGTAGAAATACACATGTACACACACGCATGCCCACACATAAACATACTTTCTCTAGTGGATCACAGACCAGGACTGGCAGGAGATAAGAGTTAATCAGACCTAGAAAAACATGCAAAAGGTGGTAATTAGGCTCAGGAATAGTTTAAATACCTTTCAAATATAGAAACTACCATGTTTTTTAAATGACCGTTTGCTTCTAAGATAGTTCATCACATCATAGAAACTGGCTTCCCAGCCTCACGGTTCTGTGCTGACTGACCCATGTGAGCATTTTTAGCTCTGAGAAGCAAAGAGCAAGGCTCTTGCTTGCTTGTGTATTTGTCCAGATGGCCTCTTAGGCCACTTAGCTCATGGAATTATCCACTCTGGAAGGATAAAGGTTGGGCTGTCCTCACCTCCAAGTTATTTTATAAGCTCTTAACACTCAGAAGTCATAGATATCATATTTCTGAAAAGTATGCTATTCTTCCTTTACTTATTTTTTTTGTTTTTATTAGTGTATATTAATTATATAGAATAACAGATTTCATGGTGGCATAGTCACAGGCCTTCACTTATCTTCTACCTCCTTGTGCCTCTGCCTTTTTTTTCTTCCTCTCCTCCCTCCCCTCACTTTCCCTTTCTGCCTGGCAAGCACAGAGCTGACCACAGGCCTCACGTTGCTTTACTTTCTTATGGTGGGGCTGGGCTGGGCAGCCCTCTCCTGATGCCCTCAGCCCTGCCTGTGCTGCTGGTCATGACTTACTCTAATTGCCAGAGTTATACCTGCAGGAGAGGGACAACAAGGGGCTTTCAGCCTTAATGAGGACTTTGAACCACTGTGTCCTCCTTGGCCACTAAGAATCTCAGGGACAATTTGCTAGGTCAAGGATTATTTTTGTAATTAGGCATTGATATCGGTACCTCTGGACATGTAGTTATGCACTACTCAAGTGAATACTATTTGAAAAGTTGAGATACTTTGAATTTTTAAAGCCTTTAAAACAGCATTCAGCATAGGTGAATATAGTACATCTCATATCTCAGACTATTTCAAGTATCAAATCTGTATCATCCAGGGTTGGATGACACAGGAAACTACCAGAGTCTCTGGTTCATGGGAAATGTGACCCTAAACCTACTTATACAAAATCAAATGCCATACTGGTGCAGATGGTTAAAGCTCAACACAACCCCAGGAAACAATATGACCTTCCTCTGATCAAAGTTTCTCAAAATAGGATCTAAGAGCCAGTGGCATCCTAGCCATTTAAGATGCCTGTTAAAAATGCAGATTCCTGGAGCTGGCATGGCTCAGTGGTAGAGTGCTCACCTAGCGTGTATAAGGCGCTGGGTTCAATTCTCAGCACTATATATAAACAAGTTAATTAAATAAAGGTCCATTGACAACTAAGTCCCACCATAGGAATCCCAACTTAGAACCCTGAGTCTGCCTCTTACCAAACTTCCTCATGTGAGTTTGGGAATCCCTATGCTAGATCTAGTATCTTGTCTTTCGCCTTTTGAGACATGCCGTTCAAAAGAGGCATCAGATAGCTGCAGGACCTCTTTCAGGGTTCACTTTATTTGCTGCTAGTCAATCCACCCAACTTGCCTCAGGGCCTCTGTCCTCACATGGGAGAGAGCAAACTCTGGTCTCTTTAATCCCCTTCTGTTATGATTTAGATACAAACTATTCCCCAAAAGCCCATGTGCAAGACAACGCAAGAATTTCCAGAGGTAAAACGGATTAGATTATGAGAGTTTTAAACTAATCAGCAGATTAATCCACTGATTTGGATTAACTCGGTGGTAACTGTAGGTAGGCACAGTGTGGCTGGAGGAGGTAGGTTACTTCAGGTGTGACTCTGGGGTTTTTATTTTGTCCCTGGTGAGCAGAGCTCTCCCGGCTTCCTTGTTGCTATGTCCTGAGCCGCTTTTCTCCTCCATGCCCTTTTCTTCCTTTATGATTCTCTTGTCAGGTCTTTTGGTCACAGCAACACAAAGCTGACTAAGACACCTTTCATTCCCAGGCCTAGCAGCTCTCATTCTCCAGGCACATGGTTTCTCTAACAGTTTTCCACTTTGACCTGGACTTGACCACTTTGGGGTGGTTGCTTTCAGCAGAAGAGGCTTTTTGTCCCTTTCCAAAGTTCTCTTCCCACTGGCTGTCCATCTTTTTTCCTTATTCCTCAATGTCTTGAGAATGTTTACTCATACTGTTTTGTTTCGTTTTTCCGTGCGCAAAAGTTGAAAGATGTTTTAAGTGAAGTTTCTGATGAAAATACTGGCTAATTTTAAATGATCTGTGATTTAATTTCAAAATTCAATGAAAATGTATCCTTTATCTCTTGCTTAAAGAGCTGGAAATTGGGCCATTTCTGGTTTGAAACTCAAGTGGAAAGGAGTGAGAAGAAAATAGGTCTAATGCTTCTTTAAGCCTTCATCTGCTCCAGGGCTTTGAGAGCTTGGGCCAAAAGTATTGGTTTAGGAATTTTGTTGTTTGCTAGTAGAGGACCCCTCCCCATGCTCGAGTAAGAGGGTGAACCATGCATCCTAAGACTTGGAAGAAGATTGCTGCTGTCCTGGAAATTATGAAACCACCACTTGGGACAGGTCCATATCTACTGGGAAGCACATCCTCTTGTCCCTCAGATGCAGGGGGCCTGCCCAGAAGCTGCTGAACCACCAGTTGCTGAGCTGCCAGCTTCACAGATGCTCTTAGTCAGTTTGGACTGCTTTAACAAAGTACCACAGACTGAGTGATCAAAACAACAGAAATGTATTTCTCAAAGTTCTGGAGGCTGGAAATCCCAGATGCTATCACAATTGAGGTCTGGTGAAGTCCCTTTTGCTGGATTATAGCCTTCTTACTGTACCCTCACATGGCAGAGCAAGCTTTGGTTTCTCTGTTCCCTCATAAGGACATTAACCATCATGGAGACGCCAACCTTATGACCTCATATACACCTAACCTGAGGGCCCCACCTGCAAATACCATTACATTGAAGATTAGGATTTCAGCATATAAATTTGAGATGGACACAAACTTCAGTCTGTAGCAGATGCCTTTGTGATCTCTTTGATCCCAGACCAACTAGACAGGACAGCAGCAGCTAACTAGCTGGGGTCATAGGCTAAGGAATTATAAAAAAACTCTCCTAGAGAAACCATTAGTGGTAGACTCCTTTGCAGATTTCTAGGACTTTTGGAATACTCTGTTTATAAGTCCTCATCTTGCACATTATCCCAGTGTTAAGCCAGAGAAACCCCAGAGAAACGTCAGGCCGAGTTCTGACGGTCCTTAGACAGCTGTCCACACTCAGCCACTGCAGTTGGACATAGAATGGGAGCTACAAGACCCTCCTTTTATCTACCTTCCTCCCTTCTGATATTTTGCTGGGGTTACAAAAAGAAAAGGAACAGAAGTAAAGGGGGGGGGTGGTTGGGGACAAGTATAAATAGAGGGGTCTATGTGAAAATGTGAACCAGTAAACAGAACCACTTTGATTAGGCTTAAAATAAATCATTTTTCATATTACTGCATCCAGGATTGATTGTCTTGTTGCCACAGATTGTATGTTTATCTTCTGATTTGGAGTTAGAGTGGAGAGGGGGCTACATATCACCCCTATAAAAGCACACAGTGACACAAGGTAGTGTGCACAGTAGCAACAGGACATTGTGCATTTAGAACTTGTTGAAGTGTCTATATTCGTATTCATGTCTTTCTCTCTCCCAATACCTTGTCAGTTTCCTCTGCTCAGGAAGAATTCTGATATGACACAGAAACTGCTAGATGCTGGCAAATGGTCCCTGGGTTTCAGACCATCTAGACAATAAACAACTCCATAATATTCAGTGCAGCAGCTTCTGTAGAGCCCATCTGTTTCAAAATAACCCTAATTCTGCTTACAATGCGGAATGCTTTGTTGACTGGAATTTGTCCTAGTTTTCTTCAGCCTTTTCAGTGTCATAGGCTTCTGGTTCCACCTGCTGGCAAATGCAAATACGGGAATGAAACCTGTGGGGGATATTTTCAGTTAAAAGAGAAATCTGAGCTGTTGTAGTTCGGGTTCTCAAAGGGTGGTGTAAAAATACAGTGACTCTGTAGTAATCAAATCAGAAACTGTTTCCTACCCCCTCTGGCAACATAGTGTCAGACCAGTGTTAGAGGACTACTTACCCTGGAATTGAGGAATCTGGAGCCCGATGCAGGGGAGGACTGACTCCACTCATTATATCCAACATAGCTCACACAGAAGATGATCAGCTGACAAAGCTGCTGGAGAAACCTACCCCACTGCTTCCATTTTACCCCTGGGCTCAACTGGCAAAGTTCAAAGCTTTATTGTCTTGGAACTCATTAAAAAAAAAAAAAATTAAAAGTGGAGAAACCTGGCCAAAACACCCCTTAAGGCAGGGGTTCAAATTTAACATTGAAAAGTCATGTTGATAGCATGGACCTATGATGGGTGATGAGAAGGCACTTCACCAAGACTCACACTCTAGTCTAGTCATAAGGATGAACTTCAGACAAACGTAACTGACGGGCTGTCTACAGGATGTCTGGCTACTCTGTTCAAGGCTGTCAAAGTCAGGGAGACAAGCAAAAGACTGAGAAACTGCCACAGACAAGAGAGACTAAGGAAACATTTTAACCAAGTGTGCTGTGGTCTCCTGGATTGGCTCCTGGAACAGAAAAAGAAAAGGGCAATTAGTGAAAAAAACTGAAACTGGAATAAAAGTCTGGAATTCAGTTAATAGCAAAATACAAATGTTGATTTTTTTGGAGTTGCCTCACTACACTAGGTCCCACCATGACCCTTCTGCAAAGATATGGAGTCTCCATCAACATCAGAAGAGGCTGAGAACTGCAGCCACCCATCCTAATTTGGTTTTCCAAAAGGGACAACCACCACCACCACCACAGCAGCAAGGTCTGACTGTAATAAGGCCTGCCCCCATCCAGATCTTTAGGAGCCACTTTGGGAGTCAGGCATATTAACTTCTGAGAGGAGTAGAGGATTCTAATATCCCAACAGGCTTTCATCATTTTCTAGCATTTTGCAGGGGTGTGTGTGTGTGTGTGTGTGTGTGTGTGTGTGTGTGTTATCTTTTACCACTCACCCCCCTGCCCCCAAAGACTTCTGTATTCTACCTTCAGTTTTCTTTTTCTTATTGTAAAGTATATCTTCAAACCTATATCTCAAGACAGATGTTCAATTTCTCTGTCACTACAGCTGGACAACAAGGCCTTCATGTGACATAGACAGTGGGAACATGGAGGTGAAAGACATAGTCTTTGTCCTCAAGGAACCTCGTGTCTAGTTTTCCATGAGTTTTCATATATTTGCCTAGTGGCCATCCCTAGATGATTATTAATTGGAAAAAGAAAAGTCCTTTAGAACATGAACAGGGAAGGGGCTTGTTGGAGATGGTCAACCTCTTATCAACCCCCAAAGTCAAACAGGTACCTCCAGATACTGACTAAAGGCATTCTGGTTTAGATCAAGGAAAATTCAGAGCATCCTAAAGCATCATTAAATGTATGTAAAATGTCTTTAAAAATCATTCCCAAGCTGTGCACAGTGGTTAATACCTGTAATCCCAGGGACTCAGGAAGTTGAGACAGGAGGATTGTAAGTTTGAGGCCAGCCTCAGCAATTTTGTGAGGCCCATTCTAAAAATAAAAAGGACTGGGATGTAGCACAGTAGTAAAATGTCCCTGGTACAAAAATCATTTCTAGTCTTATTAAAATCCCTCTTAATATAGTACCAAAATGATAAAAACTTTAGAAGAATTTAAGACATTGATTTTCCTTAAAAAAAAAAAAAATAGAAAAGCACTTTTGCATCAAAATCTGTTCATTTGTTTTTTTGAAGAAAGGTTTGTGTTCCAGTGACTCCTAGTAAAAGAGAAAGAGATGCTCCGTTGCACAGCTGCTTCTTCCTTCCTGATCCTCTTCCAGCAGTGAGGTGGAAGGATCATAGAGAGCTATTTTTCTTTAGGAAGTTACAAACCATACTCTATTTTTAAAAATACTTGATAGTTAACTACCAAAGCTGGCTTTTGCAAGAGGTGCCTATCTGTTGGTAAATCTTTGTCAAAGGAGATGCTAATTCTAGATACATTCAGTGGTTCAAAATAAAATCTTACTATTTGCAGTGAGCCTTAATCTAAGGGAAAATGTAAATTGTTGCTGCTGTGAAAGACCCTGTCTCCAGATCGTTTGGAGAATCTCCAGATCGAGACAGTGATACCCTTCAGGATTACAGGTTCTGGGATTGATCGAAATAGATGATTAACACACCTGTGTCTGAGGCACAATAGACACTGGTCTAAGCTTGAGTCTTGACCCCACCAGGGTCCACCTTGGGGTCTGGAAAGTGACTTCCAATCTTTAAGCCTGAATTTTTCATCTGTAAAATAAATAAGGAAATTCTGCCTGGAGGGATAAATAGGACAAAAGGCATAGATAACAATATGGATGAATCTAACAAACATAATGTTAGGTGAAGCCATTCACAGAGAGTACCTATTGAATGAATCCACTTATGGACAAAAGTAGGGAAAATGAATCTCTGCTGTTAGAAATCAGAATAATGGATACTCTTGGATAGTAATTGTGCAGTGTAGATGGGGGCTTCTGAGTGTTGGAACATTCTATATTTTTACCTAGATCTGGGTTCCATATGTTCATTTCAGGAAAATTAATCAAGTGATGTACCCCCAAAAGAAAGGTAGTGGTAAATGGGATGGCATACAGCAACTTTCCAGCAAACATTCTTTTGTCTCTCCTTAACTTTGGTTTTTGGATATTCTGGGGTCTGGACCATATGCTGTCTGTATTGTAGGAAACATTAAACCTGACATTTTAACTTACTCAGATTGCTAACTGGATTATAGTCTATTAGGTTTAAGTCACTTGTGTCCTTTAAAGGTCTTCAACATCAACTAACGGCAGTGGGAAGAAACGTACACCAGGTAAAGTGGGGACTGTATTACTCCCACTTTGAGATTCCAGGTATTTTTTCAGAATTAGGAAATGTTCACTACTGCAGTTTGCTTGGTTGAAGAGATAGGAATGTCAATGTATTCTATCTCAGATCACACCTACATGTTACCCTTCTCATAAGTCATAATGAAAGTTTGATTTGTATGAAATTTAGAAGGTTTAAATCAATTTCAAATATTTTTTAAAAGAGATCATATTATAATTAGTGACTCAAGAGGTAAAGTGGTCTCACTATCCCTAAGTGCCTCACCCTTTTTAAAAATGCCGTTCTAGATTGCTAGATTGCTGGGGTTTCTTCCAGACCTTTTTGGTCTTTGTCAGTAAATGACTTAGCAACAATCCTTTCAGGAGGTTTTGCTATTCATGGGATTCTAATAAAGTACCATCCTTGAAAGAGGGAACATGGGTCCCACGCTGCTGCCCTCCTTTGCCAATAGAAATCCCAAAGAATGCAGTGATTTATTTAGAGCTTTCCTGTTTTTTTCTTTCTTTCAAGTTATTTTCTCTTTAGCTCCCTAATTTAAGTGAGAGATATTATGCCATCCTGCAGCTTCACTTTAGTATAATTTCACTGAGTGGCATAGAGTGCTCATCAGATCATGGGCAGATCTGTGAATACCAGGAAATTAAACATCTCTGTTTACATGGATGGCGAACAGTAGGAAAAATGGCCGTCAACTGATGGCACACTCTTTAGCAATTCTTATCTGAAGAAAATTGCTTCTCTTCCCTTAGCAGTAAAATGCAGGGGTTACTGCATTATACATAAGGATAGAAAACTGAAAAAAATTCCATCAAGAACCACAAATCAATAAATCTTGTGATCTCACTACTGGTGCTATAATTGAGCCAAATCGCCCTAAGCTGGGCAGGGTTCCTGAGTTTCTTTGAAGCACACTCACTGTTTCTTTGAGTAAAATTGAGGGCTGACCTTCATTTACAGGAACAGAGAGGCAAATCTCTTAAATACTAATATTCTGTACCAGGTTCCTCGGAGCAGGACCATTTCACTCAGGCTGGTGATGTTCAATTCATAATATAACTAAACAGAAAAAAGGTCTTAGCTGGTTATCCTAGCTTCCCCAGTGACCCATGTTACAAAAGTGAGCCATTCAGTGAAGGTTGTTGATTACCTTTTTTTTTTTTTTTTAATCAGTTCTTAGAAGGCAAATACTTAGAAACTAGCAACTCCACACAAAGCACTGCTAAAATGATCTATAAACATGATTGGGCTCTTGTCTTTAAGAAGTTACTAGTTTTGTTATTTTGTTTTATATACATACATATCTTATACAGAGCTGGTTAATAGAAACAAATGAGTATTTAACACATTTCTTGATGTTAGAGATTAAAAACCAAAAAATTCAGTGTTCAACAGGCCTTCATTACCCAGGTAGCACTCAGCTAAGCACTTTATATGTATTGTCACTTGTGATCCTCTCAACACCCAGTGAAGGAGTATTCTTACTATGCCCACTTCACAGATAAAGAAACTAAGACCAAGATAGGGTAGCCCAATGTTCATGGTTGTGCAGCTGAAAATTTGAGGAGTTGGGATTTAATCCCAGGTTGTTGGGTTCCAGGGCCATGGAAGGGACCCTACAGTTACCTTGCTCAGTACCTTCCCTCACATGGGAACCAGTCAGTTCCTGCTGAAATGCAGAATCTCATCCACAGCGTCTCCACTAGTCCAGGCAGAGTTGGGAAGCCATATTTCAATTCCCTATCCCTATGTACTTAACAACTCTAAGAACATAGCAGAAACACAGGGATAAGATCCTCTGAGACAAGCCTGGTGAGGACCCTGGAGGATCAACTCAGCAACAACAGGTTATGTGACACAAGCAGAAAACACAGGAATGGTTAAGAAAAAGTCAGTGCAGTGCAGGACACTGGAAAGCAGGGCCTCGCTGAGGCTGAGTGGGCAGCCCAGAGGCCTTGTCTCTAGTGTGGCCCTGACCCAAAGTGCACACACAGCAGACAGCAGGCATGTAGCTAACTGCCATCAAGTTTATAGTTCTCTTCAAAATACAAAGATTGTTTTACAGTTAAAAACTTTGCTAAAACATTATCTAGAATTTAGAACAGTGCAGTGTTCAGAGACAAAAATGAAGCAATTCAATCTTTCCTAATATTGTTGTTCTTAAAAACAACTGTGGAAGGCAAAGTAGGATTTGGAGCTGATCACATAATGCAATTCTGAGCAATAAACTAGTGATGATTTGATTCATGAATTTGTTGTTTCAGAGCACTTACCATCTTGAACAAAGAAAAATTCCTTTACAAATATGTGTGACAGAAACCACATCCAACAAAACTTTTAATCTTATATTATTCATAAAATCTTTATGAATTATAGGGTCTATGGCTTATAATATGCTGAATGACATCTTTAATATAATAACAAATTGACACATATTTCACAAAAAAAGCCTTGCAGGAGAGATTTACTCAGCAGTATTGAGTGTGGGGTGAGGCTGGCCTGTTTACTTCGTGTGTGCAAGTCGGAAAGAGAGACAGGGGTTCAGGATTGTCAGCAGGAAAGGAAGGCCCATTATGGGTAGGCATTGGGATCCCCAAAACAGTGGGGAAGGAAAAGCGTAAAAAGGGGCCACCTTTGATCCTGTTTTGGATTTCTCTTTGACAAGTGAAATTCTAGTCCTAGCTTGAACAGATTGACTCTTAATCTCCCATTGCTTTAGGAACATTGCTTTTTATAGTCTTAACAGTTGTCATTTGATATAAAAATCTTGGAAGAGGCTCCATTCTTGGAGAATGAGCAAAAGGGATCAAGCGTTCACTTCCTTTCCCTCTGGAGAAAGCAACTCCTCTTGCCCACCCAAACTGCCCAGTGAGGCCAGCACCGCTGGAATATTGTCCCACTGTATCATCCATGTCAGAACCTCAGTGGGCCATGTTGGATGCTGCTGCCTGGCTATAGTAGATACCTTGGGAGTCACAGGCAGGTGCTGTTAAGTCCCTATGTTTATTGGACACAAGTGTGTGCTTAGGGCTGTTTCAGGCACTAGGAAGCAGGGAGAAGAGTCAAAGATGTGCCCTGCCATTTTAGAGCTTATGATACTAGTATGAGAGTGAAGAGGTATACAAATGGCAACACTATCTGGCAGAATGTGGCAGCCACTGAATGAGGACATCTCACAGGAAGGTGCTGAAAGTGGAAAAGTTTGAATTTGGAAAGTTCCCTAGTGGGTGGCTAGGCACTGAAGAGGGCAGAATAACGCTTTTGGTTGGTGTAGGTACTGGGTGGGGGGAGTTCAGGGAAAATTAACAGGGTTTGCAGAGATGTGAAAGTGAGACGATGTAGCCTTTTGGTCCATGTGCTTGAAAGTGGGCCGGCTACTTACCAGTCCGTGGTCCTCATGGAGGATGCGGAGGCTCTCTTGGTAGGTGTTGGCTGCTGGTCCCTTGACATCAAGGACTGTATGGTTTTCTTCCTTTATTACTCTATGTGATGCCTGAAAGTGTTTTCTCTATAGTAACTAGAGTATTTATGTCATTATAAACTACATTGTAGTATGTTTATAGATAGAAGAAACCTTTTTAATATGAAAGGTTTGAAAAATTTCAAATGGAGAGTTCATATGAAAAATCAGGCACAATATTTAACGGTCTTGTAAAGGGTCCTTCATATGAAAGTCCCTTCTTATGACCTTTTAGTATCATACCTGAACTTTTGTCCACCTGGCCAGGTGCCCATCAGTGCTCTGTGGCTCATGCTGTCCCCATTTGTCTCATTCAGGGTGAGATTCTGATCACAAGAGTGGGATAGAAGGTGGGAGGTTAGAAGGAGGGAAAGGAAGGCCCCAGAGGGCAAGTTAGTAGTGATAGATGGGCATTTAAAAAAGAAGAAGAAAGAAAACTAAGCCCTAGATATGATGGAGGGCTAAGTAGGCTAAGTAATGCAAAATATGGAGCCTGGTGGAAGGAAAAAGGAACAGAGAGGAATGTTAAGAAGAGCCAGAAATAATCAAATTAAGTTCCAGGGACTGAACCACATTAAAAATATTGACTTGATGTTGAAATTAATATTGACAGCTGAAGTTTAAATATGTTTGTTATATATCTTTTTCATATTAAAATAAAAATGACACCAAAGTGCTATGTTGACATGCTTTCCCCCCCTGCTCAGAATCCTAGCGTACATGATGCCTTGTTAAGTGTCAGAACAATGGATAGCCAGTATTTGATTTTCCCTTTCCTTTCTCACTACAGGAAACACCAGAAATAGCCCACCATCCTATGGGTTTCACCTCTCACCAGAAGAAATGAGGAAACAACGGCTTTACAGATTTGATGGCCAGTGAGGTGGCACAAGGTCTTGGGAAGACATGGTCCAGTTGTGTAACTATTGCTCATTTGGCTCACTCCCCAAGCCCCTAATTAGTTTTAAACAAAAACAGAATATACCATTATGGCCCCAGATTGTTCTTGTCTGCTGTGAACCATCACTCCATTGCCCCTGCAAGTCCAGATTGCCTTTTCTGAAAACTGGATTTGTCCAAGGCGGGCTCAGCTTCTGGGAGTGGTCCTTCTGGCCCTATTTTCTGCTCTAACAGAAGCTCACTTCCTCAACTTTGGGACCAGTTTCCACATTCCTTCTCTCTCTCCTGACTCAGTGGTGCCTCTGCCCTGTTTTGCTTTTGAAGACTGTGACTTTCACCAGGAAGCTTTGTTTTCACAAGATGGGAAGATCAGTCCCTCACTCTGCCTGGAGTGCTTGTGCTGACTTGGCAGGAGATGGGCACATTGCCATGGTGACTGCCCAGGAAGAGGATGTGGCTACCTTCCCAGCATACTGTTCTCTTCTTCTTCTCCCAGGCATCTCAGCTCCTCTGGCCACCAGGTCGGGGTGCTAGTCACAGTGGCTTGCTTTTTGTGTTGCTCTGCCTATAGAATGTTTTACTGAAGAAGTGTAAGAATGGCCTAAGATGGAGAAAACACCTGCCCACTCCATTAGGTATCAGATGGCACCTGCAGTCAGAGTTAACAGCCACCCCTCCAGAGGCAGTATGTATACCCACAAGATGGGACCTATCATGTATCTCATCAGCAAAGCAGCAGCAGCCACATACAGAGTAGAGTGAAGGCATTCAGTGGACTGAACACTAGCAATCCTCCTTGCAGGAAGTATTTTTTCCTTTAAAAAAGTGCCTCTTCATTGTCCTCTGTAACTACCATTTGCCCTGGACAAGTGTTCAAAACATGCCCCAGGGCCCTGCAGTGTTAGACACAGATTGTCTGTCGAAGTCATTTAAGGTATTTCCTGGTGCAGGTGTGTTATGAATAAAAAAGAACAAAGCCAAAACATCATTAATGTTGAATTGTCATGGAGCTATTTATTTTTAAAGAGATTTAGAAGCAGTCAAAAATCTTCCTCTTTTGACTTATCTGTCATTTATAATAGTTTTTTCTGACTATGAAAATAATAAATATGCCTTCTATATGCATAAAGCAGACATTTATAATGAAATAATACTAAGTGTTAACAGTTTTTTTTGAGAAGAGAGAGAGAAAAATTTTTTTTTTAATTTATTTTTCAGTTTTCCATGGACACAACATCTTTATTTTATTTTTATGTGGTGCTAAGGATCGAATCCAGCACCCCGCGCATGCCAGGCAAGCGTGTTTCCGCTTGAGCCACATCCCCAGCCCCAACAGGTTATTTTTGAGGGGTGGAGTACATGTGATTTTGCTTTCTTTTTACAATTTTATATTGCTAATTTTTAAGAGTGTGGCGGGTACTGCAGTCAGGAAAACCAGTTTATATAATAAATCAAGAAATACAAAACTAGTAAAACAGATGTAAAATACTATGCATTCACTAAGAAAGCTCACTGGATAAAACAGTAATACAAATAAATACATACACAATTTTAAAATCACCTGTATACCCACCATTCAGAGGTAACCAGGTTTAATATTTTGGGGAAGTGCCTTCTCGACTTTTGGTTTTGTACATTTCACAAATTTTGCAGCACACTGGCTATGCAGTTTTTTATGCAGTTCCTAATCTGTATATACCTGGAAGAGATCTTGACACCAACATATAAAGGAGCTAAGAAAACCACATGGGTCCAGGGAACTCTCCAACCCTGCCTCCGGCTGGCACAGTGACACCCAAGCTCCTTGATTTAATGTATCACTGATGTAAAACTACAGCTTGTTGATAATATAAATTGTATCCAAGTCTGGTAGCTTTAAATAATATTTATATTAAAATGTTCAAAAGCTAAATTATTATTATCTCCCAACTCTATAAATTTGACTTCTAGAAGAAATAACCTCTTTCTTACATGCCATATTTTCATACACATAGAAATTATGCTGTAACACTTATCTCTCCACTGCCATCATCATCTGTGCATAACTACACCAAGAAGTGCCTTCCACAGGGAGTGAGGGTTGTGACTGATCCTGGAACGACACCTGTGTTTTATTTACCTTTCTGCATTCTCCCTGTGTCCCACCTCTACCATCCCGAGGCTTGTGGTAGGTAGGGGCTTATTAAATGTTAGTTTCCCACCAAAGTGTTTTTCCAGTTTCTTTAAAAGGCTTTCTGGCTATGTTTTTATTGCTGGAGTTCAATAGTAGTACCACCTCACTCTATGTGATTTGTCAGATACTAAAACACTGGAATTAGATTTGGGGTAGTATAGATATAATATGCATGCTTTCTTTAGTTATGGAGTGGAAGATTACCAAACATTCGGAGATGTGGGAAAGGTCTTTTAGTAATAAATATAAACCGTCTATTTTTGCACAAAATAAAGATGTTCTGGAAATTATTATAATTATGTTTTTCAGTTAATGGGCTTGCCTATAACCAGTGCTTACTGTCTTCGGTGTCGATTTGGGGGAGGGGGTATCATTGTTTTTTCCTCTACAGTAAGGAATCCCCAAAGTTATGCTAACAAACTGGAACTGGGTTAGAAAAGACAGATAAAGGCAATGCCTTAAACAAAGTATCTTTAATAGGGAGTGAATATTAAGAGCTGATTCTTTAATTTGGTTTCTTTCTTTAATCATAGTTTCCTAATCACTTTTTACACACCCAGTTCCCACAGTTTGTTGTGGTAAATAAACTTAGACTTTTTAATATAGACTCTTTCCTTGGTTCTCAAGAGGAAGTAGTTAGAATCACTTCCTGTTCATGAGTTGAAATTCATTGCCTGAGATTCCACAGTTGTGCACAGTAATGTTCAACTCTCCTCCGTCTTTATAAATGCCTGCTGGTGAAGCTCAAGCTGAGAAGGAATTAACTACTTTTGGTAGCACTAGGGCCAGTCTACGTATTTGGCACATGTTCTGCTGCCTGGGGAGTAAGCTAAGGGAATGAGGTGACCCCTCCACACACAGGACCATAAGGTGGGGTTGGGGTGGGGGAAGACCTTGCATCCTTGTTCCCAGTTTTAGTTTCTCTCCAGATATTGATTATTCAATAGCTAAAATATTCAATTACTCATTTAAAAAAACTTATCATTTCTTCCTTTCCCTTCCTGTGGATCACTACAGTCATTTCCTAATTTTCTTTCTATTTAAATTTTTGGGGCCCCTAATATTTCATTTTCAAACCATAGACTCTCAGGAGGACCTTAAAATCTTTCAAGTCATTACTCTGCTCAGTGCTTCACTCATTCTCCACCAGGCTACCCATCTAGGCTTCCAAAAACCACTCTTTCGCAATGCCACTCATCATCTCAGATGCCTTTTATTGTCTGTTGGTTGCCAAAGATAAAAGTGGGAGTCGTTAGCCTGGATAACAGGGCTCCACCCAAGCTTTTGACCCCCACCCCATTTGTGCACAGCAAAGCTTGCTCTCTGGCCTCCCTACCAACTAGGATCATTATTTTCTAACCTATCCACAAGTAGAGAAAGTTCCTAAGAGGTAATGGTGTCATGAGAGAGAGCACTGTCTATAGCAACAGGCAGAGTGGGTTCAAGTTCTAGGTACTTACTCTATGACCTTGAGCAGGTTATTTATTCTAAAACAGTCTCCTTGGAGGTAAAGTAGGATGTTTGTGGCGTTGAGGGAGCACATATGGTAGGGTTTATATGGTTTCTGTTACATAGTAGGTGTACAATAAATGTTAAATATCCTTATTTTCCCATCAGGTAAGAGTTTTAACCAAATATCATTGAAGTTCCCTTGTATTTAAAAGACTAAGTCCAAGAAACTTATTGATCTCCTGTATTCCACTTATCCTCAATTCCAGCAACTCAGGGCTACAGGTTACATTTCATATTTATATAGCTGACTCACATACCTTTAATCCTGCAGAATAACCTTGTGAAGCAGGTGGTTTCATTCTTGCTCAATTAATGAGACAACTGAGGCCCAGAAATGTCTGAGCCACACACTGTTCAGGCAACTCAATGGGTATAGATGCAGCCTTTCTGCCCTCAGGCCTGTTTTCGTTTTTTTGTCTCCTTCACTGGGTGCAGAACTGTGCTTCACAGAGCCTCAGAATCCCATCCTTTCAAGCCTCTGATCTTCCCTTTTCAATTTACATCCACCAAGGAACATTCCTTATTTTCCCCACTATGCCATTTCAAAGGGTGGGACCCATTATGAAGTAGGTTAAACAAAGTAAACCCACTTTGGCTTGAAAGAAAATTAATTCAAATGAAACACAATTATTTAGGGAAGCCACTACAGAACTTTATGTATAAGGAACCATATTATATATAAGTGGTAATACAGCAAAGACTTAAGTGTCAACAGCAAGCCAGGCATCTTGCAGAAGTTACTTGTTCAAGTTACTTGTAGCTTTACAACTCTAGGTTAGAGAGAGGAATGCAATTTATTGGCCATGTTTCACATTTTTTCCATAAATCTTTAAATATTTAAGCACCATAAAATTCAAGCATTTCACACAAATGTGGCAGCCAGCCTTGGTGGTTTAAAATGCATTATGCAGAGTTTCCTGGCAGATAATAACAGTGACAATTACACAGTACTGATCTTTAACATCAATTGTTTGTTCCCCACAGAACTTACCAGTAATGTCCCTGCAGGAAATTATGATTGTGTGTGTGTGTTTGGTACAGTAATTTTGAGGATATAAATAAAATAGCATTCCCCAAAACATTAAGAATTGACCAGGTATAATAATTCTAATCAGTAATTTATATGCCTTTTGAGAATCATAGCTCTCTATTGTGTGTTTAAAAAACAAACACCCAAGGAATATTTTTCACATTGAATAATTAAATAAAAGATGTGGCCATAATCAATGCATGATGATAGCTATTTGTGAGAGAGATAATCTAACTTTAACTTTCAACACAAGAGTAGGTATTATGTCCTATCATCCTATTAGATAAATGAGGGAAATGAGGTTGAGGGAGTTGTGGAACTGGCCCAGGTGAACCAGCTGGATAGAGATGGAGCTGGATCAAGATCTGCGTACAATCAACTCTAAAGTCATTTTCCCACCATTCTTGCAGCTGAACCAAGTAAAAGTTACAATTGTCAAATTATTGCAGTGAGCTGATAAAACACAAATCTAATATAATTAATAATATAATTTCCTGGAACACAGATGGTTTGCTAATCTACAATAGGCTCCAAATAAAATCTTTGATAAAAATCTTAAGTTTCATGGACCATTCCACTGGCTATTTTTCTAAGCACCATTACATACACACACATTTTGTAGAGGCATACTTTTGCTAGGAAGCTCTTAAATCAAGAGGGAATAGTGGTTACAGTATGAACTGTCATGGCACAGTACAATGAAGGGTCTTCTCTAAGCCAAGTCTTTCAAATCTCATCATTTCTGAAATTTCATTTTATATTAAAAAATTATTTTTGAGGGGAAAAGTGATGACTAAAGCTTAATTGCCTTTCTGCAGGAGTTGTAATAGGAGATTGTGGGTGTGCAGAATGTTGAACATTCTGATATTTTGAAGTTAAGAAATGGCTTATTTACCATTTTACCACTGAGGACCTTATATGCAGACCTGAACATCTAATGCCTAATGAGGCTTGTAGAATTATCATTGAATAAAAGTGTTGGCAACAATATGCTAAGTTCTGCTAGCACTGGACAAATGAAGTGTGGTCCCTGCCCTCCAGAGGCTTAGATTTTAGTTAGGGATTGAAGGACATGTGCTGAGACCTTAAAGAAGTACTGGGGAAACAGAAAGAGAGGCCAGCCCCACTAATTGTATTGGTGGCAGCTGAAGAGAGTCCAAATCTCCTTGAGGGAATTCACATGCATGCCCCTAATTTAGTCTTGAAAGATATGTAGGCATCTGCCAAGTCAGTAGACCAGAGGGAAGATATGGCTGGTGTAAGAGAAGGAACCAAAGGCACAGAGGTACTGCAAGAGTTTGCAGAACGGTGTACAATTCATGGTGGCAAGAGATAGTCCCAGGTGTAAGCCATGGACAGTTCATGCTGGACCTCTCACCCATTGTGAAGTCATTTGGACTTGGGCAATGCAGTCATTGAAGGGTTTTAAGCCAAAAGATAACAAAACCAAGTTTGGATGGAACTTAGATGACAACTGAGATTTGAAACTGGAGGAACTGGTCGGAAGATGTCTACTGCAAGAGGGTAGTTGGGAGAGTCTCGTTAGGTACAAAGATGCTGGAGAGGAGGCAGCAATCCAGAGGAAGATGACTCAGATGCAGCCTGGGGAGTTGGAGAGCAGAAGGAACCCACCACATGCAGCATGGGGGACCACCTGGTGTCCTTCCCAGAATAAGGATCCAGAGAGAAGCATCCTAGTCCTCCAGCTTGAGCCTCAGAGCACTTCCCACTAGGCAATCAAGGTACAGTCCAACCAGTTAGGGGGAGAGAGATTTTGATAAGGATCATTACCGGTGATGGATTAGAACAAATTCATGGCCTTCAAGAGAAAGGGTAATTTAAAAAGCACATTGATATATAACGAGGTGAAAAAAATAATGGCTTAAAATAAATAAGTTCTTTTTCCTATTCTGCCAATTTGACCATTTAAAATACTTCTTCAAAGCCAGGAGGGCAGCATTTGGGCTATATTTAGAGAGGACTCCTGTGATGTCAGTATTCTGAACTACCTTATACTCACTGTCCCAGACACACTGTGGAGGAAAGTCCACTTAATGCAGCCTAGTGTTTGTTGTATTGTTTGTTTGTTTTACATGTTTTAAAGTTTGCTAAGATAATACTCTAATACCAGAGTTAAAGGATTTAAAATAATTTAGCAAACAAGATACAATTCTGATGTTCCATTTTTCATCCTTACCTCTAGGCTTAAATTTGAGCTACCCAGACATATTTAACATGCATAGCATGGTTAAAAGGGGGGCAAATTAACTAGGAATGTTTTGCTACATCAATAAAAAATTTCATCTTAAAATATACATTTATCTTTTTAGCAGAATGTACCCTTAAAATAGATTGCCCTCCCACAGGCAGCCCATAGAAAACACATTTAAAATCTATTCTACAGAGAAGAACTCATTACTAACCAAAGTTTGGCAAGGAAACATTTGTTATAAACAAAATTTTAATTGAGTTTTCTCTCAATTATTTTTAAGCACACTGAAAGTAAGCACTAATATGGATGTTACTTTCATGAAAAGTTCCTTCAGTTTTCTCCTAAACGACATTTTCTTTACGTGAGGAAGATCAGTTTTCTGAAAATCTCTTCTAACAAATCTTCTGTTTTGCAGGATTAGACCACCAGATTCCTGGTAAAATAGAAAACAGACCTTTTCCTATTTGAAAGTGACATAGCTTCTAAACTTTTATAAAAATTACTGATGCCAAATGTCAAATGACTGCCTTGGTACAATACTCATAAAAGGTATGTTTTTAAAATTGGCAAACTGGGATGTTCCTGTAAACACCAATCACAGGAATATAAAATTCAAGTTGTAGATCATCTTTGTTTCTTTTAAAGACTGTCCATACCTTCCTGGGGGGGGTGACCCTTAAATGAATTTTCTTACCTAAGCTTAATTAAGTCGGCCCTTAATTTACTCCCAAGTGCATAATGATAGCCCTGTCATGTCCCCAAGTGAGCTGCCATTATGTATGTGGAGAGAAAGTGTCCATTGTGAGCTGTTAGGAAGCTCTGCAGGTTTTCCTGGGGCGGGAGAGAGATGCTTTGTAGAAACCCTGTGCCCGCCTGAGTAAGCCCCATGTGGCTTCAGTCCCATTAGCACTGAGGACCCCGACTGGGGAAAATCGGTCTGTTTGGGAGCTCACTGCAATGGAGAGTCAATTTTTGTGAATCACTACTTTAATATTCATTAATAGCTTTTAGGCTCCTAATCCCTTATTGAATATATTTTTTTCCATAATTGCTACTTTTCAAAAGGGTTGCCAAAGTAGGCATTTCCATTCTCTGAAAAATGCAGAAGAGAACATAATGTTTTTATAGTCATCTGTGATGTGTTTATGCTAATGTCGCAGCTCTAGAATACAGAGACTGTGGGCCTTCCTGGCACAGTGATTCATTCTGCTTTGAAATGAACTGTTAATGCTGGCACTGTGGATTATTTTTTTTTCTTTTTCTTTCTTTCTTTCTTTTTTTTTTTTTTTTTAATCTCTTTGGGTCATGGTTTTATGATTATTTAAAGTGCGTGGAAAAAATAGATTACAGAGGAAATCATTTTTGAAATGTTGAAAATCTCTACTTTCTGGTTTCATTTGTTGCCCTATATTTTTTTCCTGTAAAATCCATCCAAAAGCCACTATATTATAGAGTAACTGACTTCATTTGTTTGAGATGCTGTTAACCAATGAATGAAATTTTCAGTAGCATAATTTGTAATCTTGCTTTTACCATCCACTCACCTTTTAGGGGATTAGCATATTTTCAAATAAAGCCTATACTCCACCATCCCCAACAAAGTAAGAATATGTGGGCTTCATCTAGATTAGTGGGTAAAAACAAATCCACCATGTAACCTTTGCTTAATCTGTAAGGAAGGAGGGAGGAGGACCTGGAGGACTCTGGGAATGACCACCTTGAGACAGGGAACAGCTGAAAATGAAGTGGGGTCCAGAATAGCACCAGTGAATCTCTTAGCACAGCCTGGGAAGCCTGAGCTCCCTCCGAAGTGTCTCTTGGCACACGCTGATGAGTTCCGCCTTCTCTAGCTATACTTCACACAGACCTGGCACCTGCTGATTTTCTGGCGCTGGGCCTGGCCTTCTTTCAAGGTGTCTGGTGAGGGGGCGGAGGAAAACTGCATGTCTGGTTGCACCGACGTCAGCCAGAAGCTGTACTCATTTGCGAAAAAGTGGCAAGTTCCCTGCCGGCCCTGGCATTCAAGGAACGGTGCCGCTCTGAAATCTTCCAGGCAGCTGCCAGGCGACATGAGGGCCTGCCCTCCTCCTTGGTCCCCAGCTCCTGTGTGCTACGCAGGCAACAAGAGAGAATTAAGGCTCAGATACACGCCCACAGCCCATACCCACTTCGGGGCCATGCCCAGGTCTGGGCCCGCTGTTAACATTTTTCTGTAAATCATTCCATAAAGAACAAAGTACAACCCGCTGGGAAGTAGTAGGAAGCACACAGCGGAGCCAATTTTGCCAATAGCTAAAGCAAATCCATTTTCTAAATTCTACCAAACTGATAAAAAAAAATGACAATAAAAAAATAATAGTGGCCCTGTATCTCGACCTACTGTGGTTTGTAATGGCGTTCATGACCTCATGTCCTACTGCTGTCTGCACAGAATGAGCAAAATTACTGTCCAACCCAGACAGAAAGGGCCAGAGAAGGTGCTAGAACACAGCAGGTGTGACAAGACCCCAGGGCAGGGCACTCACCATCAGGAAGGAGTACCCGATCCAGAGGCTCCTCCAGGCCCGTGGACACGGGGGGATGGTCTGATCCTGGCTGTGCACCGCCACCGCCTGTGCGGGGGCCTCGCACACGGCACAGCGGCTGATGTACGGGCGGATGTCCTCCTCTGCGAGGGGCATCATGGGGAGGGGCGCTGCGCTGGCTAGCCAGTAGGACTTGTCGTTCCTCCGGGCGTAGTGGCACACTTGGTGGATGTTGCAGTAGGCAAAGGGCAGGGTGCTAAACATCGGAAGGCAAGACCCCGCCAGACCTCCGAGCAAAGGAGAGACACCAGTGTGAGCCCCCTGTGCTTGCGAGGGGACCTTTCCACACAGGGCATGCGCAGACACCTGCTCTGGTCTGTGGAGGCCCATGCCACAGCCTGCTCCATGGTGGTGAGACCGCGTGGGCCAACCCTCCTCTGCTCTTCCCTCCCCCGTGAGCCCAGCAATGGGCAGGTGCTGGAGGTGCGTGGGATCATCTGTCTGTCTAAGTGAAGCTCAGGGCCCAGGCGGAGCAGACAGGCAGGCAGACAATGAAAATTCAGCCTGACAACCCTATGAAGGAGGGGTACCTGGGGCTCTGGGAGTGACAACTGGAGGAATTATTTGAAGCTGGGACTTGAAATATATATATATATATATATGAGTCAGGGTTGGAGATGGAGGAGACTATTGGAAGAAGAAGGTACAGCAGTGAAGAAGGCCAACCATGGGTGGGAGAGAGAGAGTCTGGGTGTCTGCTCATCTCAGGGGGGTCTGAAGGCCAGAGGGCAAGGGGCTGTGGGATGGGTGATCTGGCCAGACCAGGGCAGAAGCAAGACTGGTGGCAGATGGGGAGGAGAAGAGAAGGCAGCAGATTAAAGACGTCAAATGTTCCTTCTTCCTCCTGTCGGGTGCTCAAGGGAACTGTGATGGGAAAGGTCACAGCTGAACCCAAGGAGAAAGGCAGATGGATGTGTGAGCAGCTGTCACCCTAGGCTTGTGCCTGTAACTCTCTTTCTAACATTGGGGTCACAGTCCCCTTGGTGCATCAATTCCCACTGCCCCTCAACCACTGCTATCTTGGAAAGACAGTGTTTGTCAGAACCCAATACCTAAACCCTTGCCTGCAAGTCCTGCAGTTTAACAATAAATTGGAGTCGAGCAGGGAGTGGTGCTGGCAGGTGCTGTGAGGTATAACCACCAGGCGTGGCCATGTGCCATTGTACATGTACGAAATCCAGGAACTCCCCAGGTCCTGATTAAATAGGTCACATTTGGGAGTAAAAACTGCCTTTTATGACAGAGTTATATTTACCTTACTGTGGAAAAATTGTTTATTTTATCTTATTTTTTGTAACGAATAATAGGTGGCCAGATAATAATAACTATAAACAGAATAAGTTTCTTTGATACCTCAAAAGATAGTTGGCAAATAGCATAGTAGTTTTTGAAGTAATAATAATCTCATAAAAGATGAACATTGATGAATCTATAATATTAACCCTGAGGTATGATTCTCCAATGGCAAGGGAATCTTGTGATATATCCTTACCAAGGTCTTGATTGTGAGCTTTCTCTTGGCCTTCCAGGTATAACAGACTATACCCGGTCCAGAGCTGGGGCATGCCCACAGGGCAGGAGGGTTCTTGAGCTGTCTGACTGTGGAGTACTAGGAGGAAGCCACTGAGGTATCCAGGGCCAACTCCTCTGGGCCCAGGATCACCAGGGGAACCAGGAGGGCCTGGATCAGGAAAGAAAAGAAAGCTTAGGGGGTTCTGTTCAACAAACATTTCCAAGAACCTCTATTCCAGTGCTGTACTGAGCACTCAGAAGAGGGAAGGAAGCAGGACACAGGCCACTTCCAGGAGTATCCCCCTCACATAAATGCATATACACAAACACAACTCCTCCAGCAAGTGCCACAATAGGCACAAACATGACTCCTCCAGCAAGTGCCATCTTCTTTCTGCATCTGCAGGTGCCACAGTCATGGGTTCTGCCAACGATAGATTGAAAATACTCCAAACAAAAAATTGCATCTGTACTTAACATGCAGACTTTTTCCCCTGTCCTTATTCCCTAAACAGCAAAGAATAACAGCTACTTACATAGCGCCTACATGGTAAAAGATATTAAAAGAAGTTTAGAAGTGATTTAAAGTATACAAGAGGATGTGCATAGGTCATATACAAATAGTATGCCCGAGGAAAGCAGCCTTGGATGTTGGCATCTGCAGTGAGTCCTGGAACCAACTGCAGCTCGTGAATCCTCAGGGATGATTGTATTTGGTACCAGCAACTTCTAGGTGCTTGAGCCACATTCGCATAAAAAGAGAAAACAGGGCAATCCCTGCCCTCCCTGAGCTTAATGCCACTTGAGGAAAAGAAATGACAATAAGCATAACAAAATGGGAAGTTGTAAAGCACCTTAGGAAGTAGTAAGTGCTGGCAAGAAAAGAAGAAGAACATTTAAGTGTGGTCTCCCTGCCTTCTCAGACCTGGCTGGGGGCAGGCCTCCTCAAAGTTGGTCTTCATACAAGTGCCAGGCCACTCTGGCTCCAAAACACCAAAACATTATAGTATAGGTTCCATTCTGAGGAGGGGGCTTGGGATCCACACACATCCCTCTCTCTCTCTCTCTCTCTCTCTCTCTCTCTCTCTCTCTCTCTCTCTCTCTCTCTCCTGTGGGTTGAGCCACAGAGTGCCTGCCATACCACTGAGCTAACCCCCACACCTTTTTTTTTTCCCCCAGGCTGGTCTTGAACTTGCAAAGTTCTCTTCTTTTATAAGGGAGTGAGGTGGAAGGAAGGGCTAGTTTTAGAATTCTTGTTGGCAGATGGGAAATAAGCACTCTATAAAAAGGAAGCAAAGTCTGTCCCCTCTGACACTCCAAAGGGGCTGACCTGTGACCAGGCCAACTGGCTCTTTCTAATTGCCAAGAACTAAGGTGAAGTTAGACTTTGAAATGAAAGGTGTTTTGGTTTTGCTTTAATCAACTTGTTCCTGCAAGACTGACAGGCTCTCCCCATCTACACTGTAAACCAGATATTACCAAGTGGCTGCTTGTGGACTGAATCAGGTCTGCTCATGTGTTTTGTTTGACCTGTAAAGATTTCACAATTCAAAATTTCGTACTTGAAAGAAAAGTGTGTTGGATGTGCATCTGTATAGAAAAAAAAAGCCGCATCTTCTAGAACCAAGCTCCACTCTGCTGCAGGCGCTGTCCACCCAGCCCTCCTGGCTCATTACTGCTCATTACCAACCAGGTGTGGACTTCCCTTGACAGATGCTCTCCAAAGATAAGATTGTGTCTTAAGTCTTTGGGTCCTCATGCTTGAAATGCTACCTGTTTTTTTTTTTTTTCTCTCTCTCTATTTTTTTCCTTCTGATGTGCTGAGGATGGAACCCAGGGTCTTACATATGCTAGGCAAGTGCTCTACCCCTGAGCTACACCCCCATCCCCTGCATTATAGTTCAGATTTATATTCTGAAGAGTCATATCTCCCCTCTTACCTACTCCCCCAGTTTTTTCCTTAAGAGCCCTGTATTCTATATATATGTATCAGTAGCTATTTCAATAAGATCAAGTTCCAGGTGCCAGGGTGTCAGCCTATAATCCCACCAACTTGGGAGGCTAGGAGAGGAGAATTACAAGTTTGAGGCCAGCCTGGGCAACTTAGCAAGACTCTGTCTCAAAAAATAAGACCGGAGATGTAGCTCAGAGGTAAAATGCCCCTTGGTTCCATTCCCAGTACCTACCCACCTACCTACCTATATACATACACACATGGATAAGAAGTAAACTCAAAAAACCACAGGCCAAGCCATACGGCCAGTGATGCAGGTTGGAAACACACTGTGCCCAAGATCCTCAGCAGTCTTTCAAGGGCAATCCCATAGTAAAGCAGGCTGATGGGCCCTTCAGGACCTTGAAAACTGAACAGCTGCAATAGCCGAGCCATTCATGATGACGCGGAGCAGTCTGGGAGAGTGCTGACAGGATTTATGAACTAGATCTGTTGGATGGTTTTGCATCCATTTGAATATGGGAGACGCAGCCACCCCCTTCTCATGTCTCCCTGGTACCTGCTAAGCTGGTTTCTAAGGCAAATACTTCTAAGAACATCCTGTTTGCAAAGCTGCTTGAGAGGACAGAGCATCTTAGGTCCCCAGCATCAGAGAAAAGAGGAGAAACAGAAACCCTTACCTGGGGCTCCAGGGCAACCAGCCTCTCCAGCATCACCTTTGTGTCCAGGAGGTCCAGGAGGCCCAGGGACACCATCATTGCCCCTCCTGCCATCCAGTCCAGGTTCTCCTTTGCACCCTGTGGACAAATTCAAGACAGTGGTAAAAATAGCAGGGCTCCTGGGGCCATTGCCACATGCACGCAGGTGCCAGCCCAGGGCTTCCTTCTTGACTGCGCTGCGCCAGTTCATCTGTTCTTCTTGGCTATGAAGCTACAATTATACCATCTCCACTTTGCAGCTGGGACAAAGGAGTCTCTTCATTAAGTGGATGAGCCTGTAAAGGGCTGGGCCTGACTCAGAGCAGGAGACTAGGAGCCATTGAGAAAGAGCTTTTCCCATTTTCCTTCAATATTATTGTATTTTTCCTTTAGAAAAAAACTTAAACATGTATGGCTTTTATAATTACATATTATCCTTTGGAATGAATATTTTTAAAGCCTCAATGAAGGAATGAGTGAAATTTAATAGGATTTAGTGGGGGGTTAAGTTAAATTTGGAGCCAGCAATTTTTTTAAACAGCTTTTCAATTGAGTGTTTACAATGGGCGAGGTATCAGGCTAATCCCTTCATGTGGATTATCCAAATCACTCTTCCCAGCAGTCGTAGAACAAGGTATACTCTTATGCCAATAGGTATCACCAGCTAGTCAGGCTGGTGATCTGAGCTGGGTTCACAAAAGCTGGCTGCATCAATAACTAAGAAAACGGCGAAAGAAGCATGCAACACACAGAAAAGACCTTTTGCTTGCAGGAATAAGGGATGGCTCTCGACCTTAGGGATCCGTTGGAGAGAGAGAGAGAGAATGCTTGAAGCCAACCTATTTATTGAGGGAAAAAGACATTCGAGAAAGTTCAACCCAAATAAGGCAAGGGATTAGGTTTCAGGGGGTTGCTTGGTGATGTCCTGTGGCCAGCAGATTGACTGACATCTTGGAAGGCCACACCCATCTCAGGTGCCCTGTGGGATCAAAGACAGAGCAAGTGAAAAGGGCACATACGTCGCACAGTCCAGCAATATCTGTCCGGTCCCATCATGTGCTCAAATGTTCATAGCTACCACACACAGCCCATGGCTGGCTTGCAACAAGTAGGGAGAAGGCTCAGGCCATGGAGTCCATCAGGTATGGTGAGCAGAAAACCTAGCTCCAGGAGGCCAAGTGTAAAGGTTGCTGCAACCCTAGCCCCCTCAGAATCTAGGGACATTCTCAGAGGATGAAAACTTGGAGACCATTGCAACAACCATGCTCCTGGAGGGGTTAAGTGCCTGGTTACTTCTTTTGTCCAGACATCAATTAATTGGCCAAATCTCCGTTTGGTCAGAGTGGCAGACATGGTCATTGTCTTTGGGAAAGTTACTGCTCTAGCTGCCTGAATTACAAGCCCTCTCCAGGTTTCTAGTCTCTACTTCTTGTTTGTTGTTGTTGTTATTTTGTTTGTTTTCTCTCTGTTCCACAAATTAGCTTATTAGGGACGGATTTGTGTTGCTCTCCTCTTAAATTGATATGTTGAAGACCTAACTCCCAGTGTCTTAGAATAAATGACTAAGGAACAGGGCCTTTGAAGAATTGATTAAGTTAAAATCAGGCTGTTCAGGTGGGGCATAATCCAATCTGACTTGTGTCTTTCCAAGAAGAGGAAACTTGGACATACAAAGGGACACTGGGGATGTATGTACCTGAAATGCACAGAGCAAAGGCCATGTGAGGACATGGAAGACCACCATCTGCAAGCCAAGGAGAGAGGCATCAGCAGAAACCAAACCCACCAACACCTTGAAGTTGGACTTGCAGCAGCCGGGGCTGTGGTAAAATTCTCTGTTGTTTCAGCTCCTCCTGTGGCATTTTGTAATGGTGGCCTGAGAAAACCAACATACCTTAAAACTAACCTTTAAGTCCAAGGGGGCTCTCGTCAGTGGCTTTGCATCTTGCCTCCTTCCTCTGCTCTCCCATAATGATGTGAGGATGACAAAGCTGAGGATGCCAATCAATCTCTGCAGTTCACTGAGATCCCCCCCCCCATTTAAGAAACCAGTTTAGCCCATTGACTTGGGCCTCAGCCCATCAAATTGATGAATTAAGAAAAGACAGAGACCCAAATCCTGTGCCTTAAATCACCATCCCTGTCAAGCAAAGGATGCATGGAGGCTTAGGGAGGGTTGATTTGGTTTTGGCAAGCCAGCAGAAATCAGATATTCCCACAGAGTTTCCTTCTCTGTCCTGTCTCTGAAAGGCCCATCCATGAGCCTCTTTTGCCCCAGACCAGGCCCTAATTGCAATTACCTGTAGTCCAGTCCCTGGCCTCTGACCTTCCCCTGCCACCCCATCTGAGAAACATCCTAATGGCACAGGTACTGCTGGTTCTGTGAACAGAAGCCCAAAGAAGTTCTCAAACAGTGGTCCTCCCACTTTGCCTCAGCAGGGCTGGGGTGGGTGGGGCCTAGGAATCTACATTTCCAAGTTCCCACTCGTTGCTCTTTCCAGGGACCACATTTTGAGAATGACTGTTCCCAATTATAAATTAAAATTTAAAGCTAAACTCTTTCTAGTCATAAAAGTGGTAGTATATTCTGAAAATCCTGTATCTCTGCCTCTTCTTTTTGTTGTTGTTGTTATTATTATCTTTTTCATATTTCTGCCTAATCTTTAAGCCAGAAATTCTACCCGGAATTTATCTTAAGGAGACAACATTGACACTAAAATTAGCAAGAAGATGTTCTGTTTATCCGGTCAGTTCTAAGTGCTTTCTCTGATATTTACTCATATAATTCACACCACCAGCCCTTTTAACAGATGCAGAAACTGCATCACCGAGAGCTTATGTGGCACAGCACATGTAGTCCAGACCCAGAATCTTCCTTCCTAATCGTTAGTTTGTTCTCCTTTACAATCAGGGCTGCTTATGGGTGATAATGGGTTGCTTATTCATTACCCAGAAAGAGATTCATTACCAGTTGTTTATTATGGTGAAAAATGGAAATACTTCAATTAAAGCAGTTCCTTTAAGTTGGTCCCTGTAGCAGCAGCAGTACCACCTGGGAACTTGTTATGAATAAGGAATCTCAGAGCCCTCTAACAAGCCAGGAGTCCAGGGTGGGGCCTGGCAATGTGTGTTTTCACAAGCTCTTGGGGGATTCAGATGCTCCATCAAGCTTGAGAACCAAAGCCTTAAATATCCCTTGTGACCCTCCGTCCCTGGCTCCAGGTTAAGTTCCACTGTTACGGATTCCCACATTACCCTTTCTTAACACTCCACACAGCTATGCTAATTCAGTGAATCCCTTCATTTTCTGCTAGCCTGTTGCTCCAAAGGGCAGGGCCTTGTTGGATTAATTTGTTTCTTGCAGAGCAGCTGGCACTAAAGCAATCAATAAATAATTCATGAATGTGGTAGTTAAATAAATTATGGCACAATGAAATAATGCAATATTCTGCAGCCACTACAGATAATATTGTAGGAAAATATGTAATGACATAGAAGTAATGGCACATTAAAAAGAGCAGTGTGCAAAAGAATATGCATAGAATAATCTCTTTTTAAAAACGTGCAGAAATGAGACCGGAAAGATATACAGGCAATAAATAGTACCTTTTAAAATGTTTAGTTTCTTTTTTATAAAAACGTGTACAATAAGGATTTCTTTCCTCCTTTTACCAAATAACTATCCCCTTGGCTAATGCTACCATCTCCTGTCCCCTACCATACATACCTCTCTCTACAGTTCTCAACATCAGGTGGTTCTGCCCTTGCCCACTAGGGGGCGATTGGCAACATCTGGAGACATTTTTGGTTTACCTTTTGGTTGACCCATGGCCAAGGGGTCTGATTCTGATATTTAGGGGTTTAGAAACCCGGATGCTGCTCAGAAACCTATAATGCACAGGATAATGGATTATCTGGCTCCAAATGCCAACACTTGAGAAACCCTTGGCTCAGAAACGATGCTCTACCTTGTAGGTTATGCCCGAGGGTCCTGTATTCATTCCCCAAATATTCATCTAACACTTCCTATGACCCAGGGCTGTGAAGGGTAGCAACAATGAGTAAGAAAAAGCCTGCCTTAAAGTTATTGTGGTCTTTAAAGCAGTGGTCAGCAAATCACATGCCATGGGTCCCACTGCCAGGAGTGTGCTACGGTGATACTGGACATATGTTCATTCATTCACACGTGCTTGTATGTCACAGCAGCCAAACTGAGAGGTCACCACATCAGGTGTCTGGCTCCAAAGCCTATGAAACCTACTGTCTGATCTTTACAGGAAATGGTTTTAACCCCTGGCCTAGGAGGATGGACAGAACAAACAAGCAAATACATATACCTCTGCTGACACGAATGTGACACTAAGGATTGTAAGTAGAGGACACAGAGAGAAGGGCTCTAGCCTTGAGCCTTGGATTCAGACAGGAAAAGCTCATAAGGAAGGTGACCTTGAGGTTGAGAAGTGAATAGCATGGTCCAGATGAAGGGCACTTGGGCAGAAGAAACAGCATGTGCAAAGGCCTAGAGGAAAGTGGGTCATGGCACCTTCAGGACCTAAAGAGGGCAGCTGGGGGCATTTGTAATAGGCAAATATTGGATTTGTCCCTGGAGGGAATAGGGAGGCTCTGGAGAGTTCAGAGCAGGGGACTGAGGTGTCAGGTGATGCAGATGTCTTGCTTCCCTTCCTCACATAAGCCCACTACCTCCTAGAACCATCTGGAATGGGTGCCCCTCACTGCTTGCATTCTAATACAGGAACCTGTCTGAGGCTTCCCTCTACCTTCTGACCCCAGCTGTTCTCCCCGCCCTGCACAAGGTGGTTGAATTGCATTTAGTGAGGACATTCTGATATTTGATGTGCTGACATCACGTCTTTGGAGCACCTTGGATTAGAAACAAATTTGAGTGCCCCCATGGTGCCTAGACTGCATTTATTTATTCCCCTGGTGGTACTAGGGATGGAACTCAGGGCCTCACACATACTAAGCAAGCACTTTTCTTTACCACATCCCAGCTCACCTGGGCTGCATTCTGCATGAGGTTAAGGGAAAAAAAAAGATGTCATCCTACCCAGGGAAGCAGAGCCTACCGGGGGAAGGGAACCTCATCTCCCCAGGTATGAGCTGCCTTATCCCTTTCCACTAGCTTCAAAGAGAACATCAGTTCTTTGGGAAGGACCCCTACACTGAGCTCAGATATTCTCAGAGCCCCTGACAAGATGATTTCAGCATGCAGCCACGGTGCTGTTCTGGAAAGGGCTGGGAGGAAACATTGCAGATCAAAGGCATCTGTGAGGAGAAAGCATTAGACCTTCTGGGTGGAGGATCCCTATCAGATGCCAAGTTATACTCAGCATGGATGTCGCCTGCTTAACGTAGGCAAGATCGAACCAAAAGTTTGGTTTTTCTCTGCAAGTCCAAGCTCTAGCACCTGGTAATGAAACGGGCTTAGGGAAAGAGAAGGTTTGAAGTAAAACAGGAAGAAACCAGCAATGTCATGGAGTGGGGAGGTGTTTCTTCTAGTGGCAGCTATTTCTACACAACCAGCCAAAAGGGTGGTATACCCCCACCGCCACACACACCTGCAAAATTGTCACCTTCAGAAAAGCATGGAAAGCAAGCAACAGATGCTGCAGGTGACCCACATCACTCAGGGTCGGGCCACTTTAGACACTCCTGATAGACTTGTCTCCTTAGTAACTGGATAGGATGATAGCAAGGAGAGACCAGATGGGAGAGGGGAACCGGAAAATATTGAGGGTGAAGAGGGCTCCTTCATAAACAGGAATCCAGAAGCTGTATAAAAGAAGAGGGGCCCAAAAGACAGTAATGGCTTCAGAGCAGGCGCACAGTAGGATAAAAAGAGCCCCAGGGGGACTGGGCCATAGAGGAATGCAGTTCACACAGCGAGACCCTGGAGAGAGGGTGATGCTTCGCCTGGAAGAACTAGGCAATATTTTTGTTTTGTTTTAGTAGTAATTACATTCTGTGGCAGAGGGTTGGCCTTGGGATGTCCCTACTGCCAGCCAGCAGGGTCAGGGACACCAATAAAGAGAGGACATAAGAAGCCAGGGATGGCCTCCTGCAGATGAGCCCTTCTAACCTACATCAGGAGGAATTAGAGAATGCAGGTGATCACACCTGGGCCCACATAGCAAGCAGAGCCTCCTTTGGAAGCTCACAGTTTTTGGAGAGAGAATTTGCATATGCCCAGGATCACTATCAGGTGATAGCATACAGAACTTACCCATTTGATATTTGTTTTTCTCAATTACTATTTTTGATTGTTTTCCAAATCTGCCATGATGGGTGAATCCAACCATCCATCTGGTCTCAATTTTGATGTTGAGGCAAGGAAGTGGTCTCAACCCAGCTGCCAGCCACAGTCAGATGTGGAAAGTTTAAAAGCACTAACAATCAGGCTCCACCTTCTTCCATATTTATTGGTCTCCAGTGAGGCTGGGCACCAGTCCCTTTTTAAGCTCCTTCAGGCAACATGGACCTACAACTAAGACTGAGTCGCTATGGAAGGCGTTATTCTTAGCTGAATCTTTTAAAGACAGCATTTATATAATAAAGCTAGGGTTTCTCAAACTTGAGCTTGTATGCAAATATCCTGGGGATCTTGTTCAAAGGAAGATTCTGCTACAGCAGTTCTTGGAGTGGGGTTGAGTTGCTACTATTCCCATACTCAGAGCATCAAGAATATAGTTGATTGATTCCTAGTTCCCAGGTTAATAGACCAACCTACCCCACTGTGCTCCTAACTCCTTCTTGCTGGATGATTCTGGCTCCTCAAAGCCCAGTCTTTACTTATGTCTCTGCTCCAATGCCAGCTTTTGCTGGGTTTTAGCAGTCCTGCAATCCCCCACATGGATTTAACCTCTCTGTGCCCTCTTCTTCTGTGCCATTGGCCTGCAACTCCATTAAAACACAAATTACAATCTGCCATTGAGTTACGTATGTTCCACTGGCTATTTCTGCCATAAGGCTGGGAGACCCTGGAGGAAGAAATCATCCTATTTATCTTTGAATTGCCCACAATAGCACTGTAGTTTACAAAGTGTAGAGGGAATCTGGAAGTATTTGCTGAATTGAATTTGCTGGACCTCACTGCAGGTCACATCTTCCACTTGTGAGAAGTACTTTTAAAAAAGTTGTTGGGGGGGAACCCTAGATATTGCAAACATATGCATGACATATATGTTTGGGTTTTAAAATGAGAGTGTGTGAGTTACACCGATGGGTACAGAGCTTTACCCTGGTTTGAGTGACAGAGAAAAAGATCTTAAGTAAGCACTAACCCAATTCCAGTGTTCCCAGGCTATTAAGGAAAGTCACTACAACTGACACTGAGATTGTGCAGAAACAATGCAGCAAATACCAACAACAAAAACCTCTGTTATTTTGAGGAAGGCTCCAGAGATGTTTTGCTTCCACCTGAGAACCACACAGACTCCTGTTGAGGGGGCACTTCCTGGATGCTTAGGAATCACAAGAAAAACTGGTGGTATAAAACTCAGTTCTACTTCTAATTCCTTTGTCCGTGAACCAAGAAGAACCCAAATCACAGCTGGGTAGAGGGGAAACAAGAGAGGGACTGACCTTCTAATAATCTGCACACAGGTTTTCTGGACTCATGGGCACTGCCAACTGGCCTCAAGAAAGCAGTGACTTCTAGATGCCCAGCCTCAGACTGCCTGATCTCTTTGTAAATTACTCATCATGGAGGGGATATGTGAGAAGAAAATAAACCACTTGGAGAATGCTGTTCACAGAATCGTTCAGTTTAAATACCCATAATGATCCTGCTGCCTTGACAGTGGTCACACCAGGTACAGTTAGGTTGAGTGAATAATGCAGTCATTGCACAAAGTCAGAGCAACCCTCCTTCAACCTAGCCTTCTTCTAAGAGAAACGTCTTCTCTCCCTTCTTGAAGGCTCCGTTTCTGCTCCACCAAAGTCCAACTCAATTGCTTTTCACTTAAAACCAAATCAATAGCTATTCAAGGTAATTGATAGGACACCCCCTAGGCATTTAGGATGCTGTCATGCCAAGGGGTTTCCAAACTCTGCATCCAGAGCTAGCCAACTGTAAAGGATTTAAGTAGGAGCTCAACATAAAACACTTCTCAGAGGTATGTGGATCTAGTAGTGCATGATTAAATCTTTAGATCTATGTGGAAATAAATGAGGAAATTTTCACTTTTACTAGTGGTTTAGGCTCCATACACAAAGCTATACAATAAAACACCTAAACTTTCATTTCAGCAATATGTTATGCAAATAACAAATAGAGTAAGGCTCATACCTAGTCCTGGGGGGCCTCTCTGTCCTGGGAGCCCCACAGCTCCTTCTGGTCCTCTTGTGCCTGGCACTCCAGGAAGCCCTGGGATCCGGGGACAGGCATCCACATCTGCAGGTGGCCCTGGTTCACCTGGAATTGGAATCACCCCCTGTGTGACGGGTTCAATGTTGATGAACAAGATCCTTCTGCACTCTCCAGCTAAGGAGAGGTTTCTGACACTATCCTAAAATGTCAACAAGAACCTCCAACAGTCTAATGCCCATTCTATGAAGGCAGGAGCTTGTCTTGTTCACTGCAGGGACTCACAGAAAACTTCCAGAAAAGAGTTTGTGGCATAAGTTACTGATTTGTTATAACTGGTGAATGGGACATCAGAGGAAGCAGGAGCACAGTTGGCTGAGACAATGATAATTTGATGATCTTTATAGGATTTCTAATCTTTGGGCCATTTAAAAAAAAAACTGGGGTGCTAATCACAGGTGGCATTGCAAGAGGGACTTGTGGGTCCCTAAAGTTAAGTTTAATGTGTCCTTAATTCATTACTGTATTAGTAGTCAAGTAGATTTTCCTAGTGTCCCTTACTAAATTTCAGGATTGCTAAGGGCTCTAACACGGTGACTTTCAACCTTGAAAGCATTTTGGAATAAGCTGGGAGAACTCTAAAAATATTCTGAAGCCAGGATGTAACCTTCACAATGTCCTTAATTTGGCTGCACAAAAAAAAAACCCAGATGGAGCGCTTTTCAAAAGACCCTTAATCTAGACTTATTGCCCAGGTGTTCTAGGGTGAAACCTGGCGTTTGTATGTTTTTAACTACCCCAGGTGACTCCAATGTCAGCCAGGCCTGAGAAGCACTATTAAAAAGCTTAGTTCTGACTTCAGCACCTCAGACTCATCTGGCAAATTTGTTCACCAAAGTTTCTGAGTGGAGGTCTGAGGTGGGGTCTGGCATCTGCATTTCTAACATCTTCCCAGGTGAGGTGAATGATGTTGTTGACCTGGGAATCTTACCTTGAGAACCATCACACTAAAGAGCTGATGTTTTAAAATTCTTGGTTACACTTACAACTTCAAGACATTTTTTTCTCCTAAAACTTCATTCACTTGCCTTGCAAACATCCCACAAGGGATAAGAAATAACATTGAGCAATAAATAGCAGCCAACACCTACGGAACAGTCTCAGGCACCAGGCCTGCACTAAGTGCTTCGTTACTAGATTCCCTCAATAGCAACATGTGGTGCTACTGTTATTAGAACGTCACAGGTAAGAAAACTTGGTGAATAACTCATGATCACACCTATAACAAATTGAAGAGTCAACCACATGTCATACAGCTTCAAGAACTCTTAATATCTGTGTGATGAATTCTAAGAAATGAACGCTTAATAACACACCAGTTGATTAGCTATAGTTTCTTAAAATTCATCCAAATGTGCATCATAATTTTAATAATAGCTGAGAAACATGCAAGAAAATTCTAGCACAATGTGGCCACCATTACAAGCTCTGGTCTGCACGATTCTTAATGTACTGTATAAATTGCACTTGAACTCTACAGACTCTTTGGAATGTAACCCTTTATAAATTATGGTATGAAGCCACAGGCAACACAGGGAAAGATATATTTTCACAATCTGTCTAGTTTAATGTAAAACTTGGCTTTTCCACTATGAGTGATTTGGGGAAGATGCATGGGAACATTTCTGATTTTCCCTGAATCATCTTGGGCCTTTCATGGGTGGTTGGGGGATGGAGACTTGGCTGGTATTTTAGATTTAGAATTTTGATGTTATCTGCTAATGAATTTCTACATACAATCACCACAGAGAGAGAACTGAAATGAAAACCCATTAAATGTATGGCTATGATTTTTAAATATTAGCATTTAAAATAGCAAGACTTAAATATTATTTTACTTTGCTTTTTACTTTTTAATAAACCAGATGCTGAAAGAAAGGGACCAAGGTGTCTCTTCTAAGGACCCTAAAAATAATATATAGCATCTGTATTCAGGGCGATTTTCATTAGGGTTTATAACAGATGCCTGGAAAGAGTAAATGCAAACATTCACGATTTTTCTTTTGAGAAACACTTTTGTATTCTCTTTGAAAGTGCCAGACTCTTACACACAAATATATTTTGTTTTTATGTCATAAGTGAATACTTTTTTTTAAAGAGAGAGAGAGAGAATTTTTTAATGTTTATTTTTTAGTTTTCGTTGGACACAACATCTTTGTTTGTATGTGGTGCTGAGGATCGAACCCGGGCCGCACGCATGCCAGGCGAGCGTGCTACCACTTGAGCCACATCCCCAGCCCATGAATACTTTCTTTATAACACAAAGAAGTGTGGTTCTTGAAAAGGGACTCCAGGGTATGACAAGAAAGGCTTGTCACAGTACCTCATTGGCTGGCAAGGGCCCGTCTTTTAACAATGTCCACACTACTTATTTTAGGGATGTTCTGTACATTTATATTGTAAAATCCAGAAAAGGAACTTACATGAGCACATGCTTTGGAATTTGAGGGAGGGAGCACTCATACTTAGTGCCCGTGGAAAACAATACAAGTGGAGCATGTGACATTGCCTTGGCCACCACAGGGCTGGAGACATTAGGATGCTCTAATACGAGGTCACTATGTCTGCAACACGGAAGCAAAGCATTGAACCCTGAGAGAGTTACAGCACCCCTCCATAACAATGGATCAGCTTATTTCACAAATACAGCAAAATGACAGAGAAAGCAGACTGAGGAGAAATGATCAATTGCACAGCCGTGCTTACCTCTGGGACCTGGAGGGATTCGAAGCCAAAAACGAGGCCGCGTGAAGATTTTCACATGGTGGAAAGAGATTTTAAATTTGTGAATTAGGACAAAAATGACAAAGATTGTTTGAGAACATAAATAATAATTTGGGACAGCATCAATGACAAGCAGAGTGACAGCATCTTATTTACATGAAAATGTCCACATCAATGTGACTGACAGGAGTAGCTATGATTCTGTACTAATGGAGTTTTCATCTCTAGAAAGACTTGAAATGCAACTCTCTGGAGAAATATAAAATTCTGGTTGATTTCTTACGGCAAGTGTGCCCTGAATTAATGTGGATAGGAATTCTCTCCATTTAAAAACCTTTTGAAAATTCTGTACTAATTTGCCAGATTTCATAGGCTATGCACAGAAAGGGAATATAAAAATAAACCAAGTGCAAGTCCACCATCTTTGTACTAAGATGCCCTTTATCTGTTCTCTAGAGTGCCTTTTTCGGAGACTGAAGAATATTATGAGTTACCACTACGTTGCTTGATCTTGACCCAGACTCTTGAAAGACATTACTCCTGCCAGCTTCACAGGCACACATCTGTTTCACTCTATAGAGTTAAATTAAATAGCCTTTAACCTTCAAAGGAACTAATGCACTTCATAGGAAGTAGTTAAATAGAACACCAGGTGAAACCCATGGAAATTCATGGAAAGGTAATGAATATACAATACCAACAAACAGTAATCAAATCCATCTTTGCCTTTTGTGAGAAGGAGCATATGTTTGCTTAGAAATAGTGTATATAACAACATCTCTTAATTTTTTAACTCACTCATTTTGATTAAAAAGATTAGTCTATCAAACATGAGTCTTCATGATACAGCCTGAGAAGAGCGTATTTTTTATATCAGAAGGGCTTAATTTCAGAATAGTTAACTACTTTCTGAATGATGACTGTCAGTACAGTTTAGGTTGCTCAAGGGATGGCCATGCATGAGAAGCTTACCTGGAGGACCTGTGGGCCCTTTTCTACCTGGAGGTCCAGGTAAACCCTTCTCTCCAGGTGGCCCCAGAAGACCAGGTGGCCCTGGAGGCCCTGGAAACCCCATTGGTCCTAAAATAAATGTAAAAATGAGGGCACTGGAATGGAGCAATATGAAGACAATGACATTTGATTGACTTTAGACACCCACTCCAAGAGAGGGTCCCAGAGTAGAGATCAGCCTCATGTCTGTCCGTAGGACAGCCAAGAGCTGCCTGTCTGAAGGGAACACAGTGGTCAGTGAGAAGGATGAAGGAGGACATGTCCACGACCAAGATGAAACTGAAGGAGAATGAGAAGCCTGTGACCCTGAACTTTACCTGGTATCAGTCAGATGACTGAACCCAGGGAAAAAAGGGAGAGAGGTTTGATGTTGAGGAGCCAGGTGCCCCCAGCTGGGGGTCCTATCTCCCTCTTGACACTTTCTTAATTCTGGAACCTCCAATGGCTCAATTCTTCCCCTTCCATCAAGTCCTCTTGTTTCTTAGATTTCAGGCCAGGCCCCATCTCCCCAGAGAGGCCCTCTCTGGAATCCCAGCCAAAGCCCAGCAGTTCCCTCTGGGCTCCTGGTCCAGAGCGCTGAGCCTGATTATGGTGTGAATGTCCGTCCTCCATTGGGAAACAGCACTGAATGAGAGTGGAGAGTGGGCTGTTTAAATCTGCGACTGCTGCATTCCTGTGGTGTCTGAAACCCACTGCTCACGTGGTTAAAGTAAACTGAAGGAGCCCCTGGTCTTCTCCACAATGGAGCTCTGTCTGCCCCATGCCCTCTGGGAAGGAAGTGAAGAAGAACACTTGCTGCTTCCACCAATACTCCTAATTCCCTGCAGATCCTTGGGCTGGTCACCATGATTTACGTGGCCTGCTGTTTCCCTGGGCCTAGAGTTTATGTCCAGGTGGAGATTCATTCTGTAGAGTAATAGCTGGGGAATTGTCAGCCAACCCCCCTCCTCTTTCTTCTGCATGATTAGAACATGTCTGTCCAATTCTGATGTCCAATAATTGGAAACCCACATACTTGCAGATAAGAGCCACATCATCTGAAATTGATTTTATTGCTAATACAGATGAAGAGGGTTGCTGTATAGACGTGTACTGCACAATTTCACAGGTGCCATTTGCACTACCCTCATGGTGGTTTCGATCTTCCCTCTGCCCTAATCTTTGCCATGCTTCACATTTGTGTCAGAAATAAGGCAAGGTGCTAGCTATTGGGTCCCTTGGCCAACATGAGTAGATGCTCTTCTGATATCAGGCTTCATCATTTATGCAATAAAGGAGTTAAAATGTATAATCATTAGTGGTCCTTTTTCAACAAAAAAAAGTTCTATGAACTTAGTAGTTCTCTGAAATTTTCATAAAAGCAACTAACCACATATAGGTGCTGTCTGCTGAGCGTTTGAAATATGGCCAGTCCAAACTGGGTTGTGCTAAATGTGTAAAGTACACAACCGACTTCAAAGGCAGGAACAGCAGCTTCATGCAGAAAATAACTAGGTTTGCACAATCAGCTGTGTTATCTCATTGATAATTTCATACTGAATTCATGATTATAAATACTTTAAATTATGCCTGTGACTTATAATTATATTCCCATTGCTTGGTTATGGTCTAGGAGTGACTAAAGAGAGACTTGTATTTTTTATTTTTACATGTCCAAATTGTACCCAAACTTGGATACTTTGGGGGGAAGTAAGGACACTTTTGAAATATACTCCCTGTTTCCACAAGAAATAGGAATGACACCATGGAAGGATGATACCACAGACCCTCAAGAGTAAGAGATGGAAACCCTTCACATACCACTGAAGGAACAGCTTGTATTCATACCTTTTTGGCCATCTTTTCCATCACATCCTGGAACACCCTGGCACCCTGGAGGGCCTGGGGGACCTGGTGGCCCCGGTGGCCCTGGCAGACCACAGTCACCTGGTTCCCCTCTCAGGCAGTCAACACTCCCAGGAGGTCCTGGAGGCCCTGGTGCTCCTGACCACAGGAAGAAGGCAAAAATGTTTCAAAGACAAAGGTGGCTACCTGAAAACTTAAGAAAAGTAATCTAATGATTTGCAAGCAAGGGATACAGGGGGTTAGAAGAATAAGAAAGTCAATATTTTGTCAGAAATGAAATGCAGATTGTGTCTCTTGGAACCCAAGCTGAGAAATGGTGTAGATAATGGGTTAGTAACTGTCAGAAAAAATGAATCTAAGCAAAATCTTCTTCCCTTTCAAGGCCATTCCTTTTGGAAATATCATTTTATGGACTTTGTATTATTATCTCACTACTTTAATTGGATGGATGGATGGATGGATGGATGGATGGATGGATGGATGGAAGAATGGGTGAGTAGGTGGACGGATGGATGGATGGATGGATAGACTGGCAGACAGGTGAATAGATAGGCTTTTGACAAAATATCACATCAATTGATACAAAAGGAATATTCAAATTATAATCCTATTTGAAAATTAGTGTCTGCAAATAGGAAAAAAATCAACCCAAATTCTTTCTCCACTTTGTTTCTATATTTCTTAGCAGTTTTTCTTGCTTTTATTTTTATCAGCACACAGTTCCACCTTCACTAAATCCTAAAGATTCCAAGATGGCGGATCTGTGTGTAGAATAGCTCTAGCAGGGAGTATGAATGTGGCTGTCGGCACTGGGCAAGCCATGAGACTGAGCCAACCAACTTTGTCAGTTAATAATAACTTCCAAAGGCTTACACTGCCAGAGCTCATCCCTGTTAAATGGCGAGAGGAACAATATGCACTGTTAGATGCCCATAAGGAAACATTTCTGGGTGTACAAGAGGCCAGGGTCCTGCCACTCTGGGCCAGTGGACAGGTGGTAGAAACCAACAAGGAGCATGTATTTCCCTCCTACTGGGCACTTCTGAAGACTCATGGGCAGCATCATGCTAGTAATGAGAAATGCTTACTCTGCATCAGTTTGTGCCTGGGCAGAGGTACCTGATAGGACTGACACAGAAGAGTGAAGGGACCTACATTCTGGGCCTGAATAAGTCCAATATCCACAATCCCACCCAGGTAGGTCCCATTGATCGGACTGCCTAGGTGCTTGTGCTCTGCCGTTCTCTCATCCTAGAGCCCTGCTGAGCTGGTTGCATCTAATGAAGGGAGAAGTCCCATCCTTCACCGTGATGCTGTCATACCTCTTGCACCATCAGGGCCAGGAGGTCCCTGATCTCCAGGTGGACCTGGGTCAGGAATGTCACCCTTAGGAGGTCTTCCTGGAACGCCTGCTGGACCAGGTGGTCCGGGTCTCCCTGCGTAAGCACATGTTTACACATTAGCCTCATTGCATTTGAAAGGTTTTGAATTAATGACTTAAAAAGGGACTAAAACATGCTGCTTCTTACCTGGGGGACCTGGGAGACCTTTTTCACCAAAAAGGCCAGGAGGAGAAATTCCTGGGCTTCCAGGGTCTCCTGTCTCCCCTTTTAGCCCAGGGAGTCCCACTGGACCGGGTGGGCCCATTTCATGTAAACCTTAATAGGGAAAACAGCATGAATATGTCCTGATCTTACTTGTCCTTGACAAGGAACCACTTCCTAAAAGTGGCTGGTTCTGCAGAGACCAACCTCTGGCTGCAATGGTACTTCTAAATGGTGACCTGGATCATCATTTTCTCTAATGACCCAACACACTGGTCAACCACAAATTTGATTTCTTTTATGGTTATTTCCCAGATTAAAAAAAAAAAAAGAATAGGTGAGTGAGAATACTAACCTTCCAACCTTTACAAAGGACAAAGCAAAACCAAATGAGGTGCAATAATAAGTAATTATGGGCTGGGGTTTTATCTCAGTGGTAGAGTGCTTGCTTAGCATGTGTGAGGCACTGGGTTAAATTCTCAGCACCACATATAAATAAATAAAATAAAGATCCATTGACAACTAAAATAAATAAATAAATAAATATGGATAAACTTCTTTGAAATTTGAATGGAAGGTGACATTTAATGAGAACTATGGTAGTATGGAGTTTCTCAGTAAGAAGGGAGCACATCATTGATTTCCTGGAAGAGACACAGATCTAATTAGGCTATTTGGAAGAGCCACTAAATACAAGTGACATAAATTGCTTTTCTTTTTTTCTCTGTTTTTAAATATATTTTTAGTTGCTGGTGAACCTTTATTTTATTTATTTATATTCGATGTGCCTCACACATGCTAGGTAAGTGCTCTAACATTGAGCCACAACCCTGCCCTTAAACTACTTTTCAATTTTCACAATAAATAAAGGTGTTGTCTCTCCAAAACACTTAGCAGCACAAGTCGCCTTTCCCCATAGTCTCTCAAATCTACATGCTGAGTTACAGTTTCAATTATACTTTGATTATACTTTTTTTTCTGACAAACTGACACAACCAATGTGTATGATATGAGAGGAACAATCTAAAACACAGCTGTTGAAGATCAGCCTCTCTGTGATATCCAAAATAACAGCAAATAGTTCAGGTAATGTTTTTTGTTTGTTTGATTCTTTGTTTTAGTCATGGCAGTAAAGGAATGTTAAAAGTGCTAATTAGATCCACATGGCTATATGAGACACTGCTGTAGTTAAAATTATATAATTTTTTTAAAAGCCCAGACTTTGTTTGTTATTCACAGTACTTTGTAATCAGCCCCACGTAGGCAGTTATTTTTAGTGGAGAGACAAAATAAGACCAACACAAGGCATTACTAACCTCCTTTCTGAAGTAGATTTTCTTAAATCCTTTTATATGTCATCCTCAGCCCTAGAAATAGCTCTCATACTGTGTCTCTCTCAGCTATGACAGATTTTCAGTTTCACTCCCAAATCTTGTGGAGTGAGAAACTACCCAGGAGGGTTCCACTTAATATCAAGGCCACCCACAGAAGCTCGGTTTCCTGAAGATGGTTTTTTAATCTTACCTGAGGCACCTTTGCTTCCTTTCTGACCCTTCAAACCATGCAAGCCGTCCAGGCCAGGAGACCCCGAAGGACCTGAAAAACACACCAGCCCTGTGTACGGAGGGCAAGAGCAGCCCCTAATACCAACCTTAGTCACTGCCCCAACACTGCCCAGCAGAGGGCATAGAGCAAGGTGGACATCTCACACTCTGAAGGTCATTATCAGGGTAGGACTCCTCCGGGCGATGGTTACTTAACACATTCATTTGCAGGTTTGTAGCACAACAGCTTAACATGTTTCCTTGGTTTTAAGGCACCCTGTCGGGTTATAACCATATCATGATCAGCTGCAGTCCAGAATTACTGGCTCTTGGTGTAGGAAGTAATCTTTGAGTTAATGACAACAAAATCATTCTAAATGAGGAAAGAGACTGGATGGGAGCCAATACATGCCTCCTACCTCCAGGGCTTGGCCTTTCCAACCAGGATCAGAAGGTCCTCCTGCCCAGTCATGCTATAAGTCAACAGGGTATCTGGCCACTATGGGACAATGGGGCATATGCGTCCTCCCTGGCTTTATTTTAAGCATTGCTGCTCTGGAACAACAGGCCTGCAGGTCAGATTTGTCTGTAGCTTTTTTTTTTTTTTTTGGTAACCAGTTCTTTCAAAACCATTCTGACTCCTTTTCACAACAACCAAATTTACTTCATGATGATCATCAAAATCTCCAGGCTCTGAAATTAGACATTATCCCAGAGATGCCAGAGCCATCTCTGAGAACCTTCTGTCGGGCATCCATACAGTCCTTACAGCAGAATCTACCAGCCAAGCTTCACTTTGGCCATCACTGAACTCTTCCAGTGGACGCGTTTTCCTTAAGATTTTCCACCAACACAGTTTGAGTGTGTCTGACCTCCCCCGGAGGGGTATCTTTTCAAATGCAAGTGTCCTAACTGCCCAGCATAGAGTTGGAAGAGGAAGAAGAAGAAAGGGCAGAAAGGATGGAGAAGAAAAGTGAGAGGAAGGGCAAGTGACCAGTACCACAGAGCACTTCCCCAGGGCTGAGCCCCGCCGAATGCCACCCCTCATGTCTTACCCCACTGATGACTAGGAAGACAGGCTTCTCCTCAGGGCCTGGCCACATCTGGTCACCTGCCTATTCCATTGGTGGAGCTTCCATCCATTTTCTCCCCATCCTGTTCTTTCTCACCCAATACTAAGCAACTCCACATACAACCAGCCATTCACTTAGTATAGAGAACTCATCTCTCAAATTTGGGACAATAACACCCCTCAGTTTATATAACTGAACATACACAAGCACCGTCGCCTCCACCTGTGAACCTACATGGGGTGCCCTGATCAACTACACCTGTGCAGGGCCGTAGGACAGTCTGTCTCCCCACCTAAGGGTCAATCAGGGTGTAAGGCCAGGTCCTATTAGTCTTTCTGCCCCCACACTTGGTATATTTTCTGGCACACAGTAGGTGTTCATAAGTGTTTGTTGAATGACTGCATTAATGAGAAAATGTGGACCAAGGAGGTCAAGGGATTGAACAGGTGAGAGGAAACCACATTTTTAAAAAGTGGCCTAGACTTTCTATTTGCTTGTCACTTCTTTCTTTGATACATTTATAGGATACGTATGATTTGGAGATCCTGGAGGAATCCATTTGTACGTACATAAGTTGAGTGCTGATTATTATCTGTCCATTAAAGCAGGCCCTCCCTCTGAGGACTTCTTACTGGAGAGTGGCAGTTAGTCCCCTCCTTTCTATTTATCCCAGTACTTGAAACAGACAGTTGTTTTTCTCTTTTTAAGATCTCAACATTAGATGGATTCAAGTGAGTTATATTCTCTGGCACCGAAAAAAATGGGAATGCATCTTTATTTTCCCTTGATCTCTTATTCCTAACCATTTTTAACCAGCTCTGGCTTAGTTTATTTTCCAATCCTCTTTCCTGTTTTATGAGCCAATATTTCAAGTTTGCACCAAAAGAACACAATGACCTTCCTCATCTGCCAAATCTGGATATTTATTGCAATCTATCTGAAATGATAGTAAATTTTTTGAGACCACTTTGCTACACTGAGATTGATGGCTTGGGGGACTTGGCTAAGGGTGGAATGTCCCAGCCTCTGCCAACTCTCCATTGTCACATCAACACATCCAGATCCCGCGTTGTCACAGCCCAGCCCCTTGCCATTGTTGAACTGGCCGACCCTTATCTGACCTAATGTTATCTTTCTAAATTGAATGCAGCTACATCTGGGTAGGGTTTTAAGGGTAATTTTTCCTTTTGACTGAAAGCTTTTTATCCATCCCATCTCTAAATCAGAAAGTTGTTCATGCATAAAATATATACAGTGCAGATGAGAGGCAATTAGGCTAACAAAGCACATTCCTGGGTAATGAGGAATTTTTATTCACCTCTCTGATGGTCCTGTCCTTTTGCTTAACAGCCATCATTTAAGGCTGCATTGAGCTGCACTCACTATACAGGGTGCTCTTCCTCTAGCCAGTAAACCTCATCTCCGCTCTCGCACAGTTGGCCACCCATCTGTCCTAGCCAGCCCCCTCTTTGTGACTGGATTCCCACTCTCAGGTTATATTTTTGTTCTCAAGCCTGAAAAGTCGGCACCCCAGGAGCCTGCTACTGGTTTACATTTCTAATAGGGTGTCCAGTGTTTCCCTGCTAGCCTGGGACTTTCCTCAGGGTAATACCAGACGTTCCACACCCTAACATAACCCTCCAATCCCAGGCACAAAGGGAGAGCTGGCCACCCAGCTGATGGGAAGGAGGGAATTTCATGACTATGGGTAATGACTGAAGAAACTTGAATACTCTTATCAAAAATAATACTGCAATGAGATTTTAAAAAAAAATTTAAAGAAATTCATCACATGTAGGAATGTCTTCTGAGGGCACAGATAAGGTTTCCTACTGCACCGAGCTTCAGCAACCAAATGTGTCTCATGACATACTGATGGGAAGGTGGGAAGCAAGAGAGAAATAATACCTGTTGTGACAGAACAAACAGGCAATGACATCGGTGTGGTGAGTGCTGCAGGGGTGGGCAGGAGGGTAACAATCTAGCTGTAAAAAGGAGGGACATTTCTACCCCAAGGCACATAGTATTGCTTTCCTGACAAAGGACACTTCAGAATGCTTTTTAAAAGTGAAATGCATGTACTTGCCACAAGCCAGAATACCCAATCCACACTCTTTATAATGTTGTTAGTCTACAAATAATTCTCTTTAGGTTTCCATCATGACAACTTTACATTCATACCCCATCCCAGAATGGGGTGTTTTAGAGGGAATATGTACTGAAAAATTTAAATCTCGGAATCAAGCCACTTTTAGCATATGCTTAAGTTAAAGTTTAAATCTGATTGAACACAAGCAGGACTCCAAATCCATATGGCCTGTTCTAGCAGAGCAAACAACTTTGAGTTCAGCAGCTGGTTTGTTCAAACAAGGTAATCAGTCCCCCTGACTTATTTAGAACATACTTCAAATATTTAGTTTCTCAGTTCAAAGTGTTTCTGCCGGAGTGTTGTTCATTTTGATATCAGCGTGATCGACTGCAACTGTGGGTTTGCACTGTAGCTGTTTTAACCTTTAGGAATGTATTTCACTGCTTTGTTTTGTTTAGACGATGGTTCCCTGGGCTGTCGCAGTGAAACAGTGTCACTACATGGCCAGGAAGCACCACTGCAGCTGCTCCCGTCACCCCTCACTGTCTCCCCTAACAGACTCACCGATTTACGACGCAATCAGAGATTACTTCTCATGAAGATTTGTTATGGATCAATTCATCAGCTATTAGTCTTTTAGTGACATGTGATGTTGAAGTTGTGTGATAAATGCAAACTAAATCAAGGTAAAAAAGAATCAACAACAGTAGCATGAGTCTTGTCATTTTGGTGACACTGGGTATATATTATGAGAGTAGGAAGGAGTGGGAATTTGGTAGAAGTGGTTAATAATGGGAAGTGTTTTCTTTCTTTCTTTCTTTTAAACTTCTTTACAGACATAAACACAAAAATAATCAAGGAATACCCCATAAGGGCTATAGGGGACGGGAGGGGGCGTGAGGTAGGAAAGATGGTGAAATCAGATGGACATCATTACCCCCAAGTACATGTATGAAGACACGAATGGTGGGACTCTACCTTGTGTACCACCAGAGAAATGAGAAATGGTGCTCCATTTGTGTACTATGAATTGAAATGCATTCTGTGTCATGTATAACAAATTAGAATAAATTAATAAACAGTATTATCATTTTGTTTGAAACCCTAAATTCGTCACCAATCTCTGGACCTCCCATTACTGAAAATGTCAACGAAGAGGCAGAAGAGTGTCAAGTTGTCCAGTGACCGGGAGCCTTCCTTGTCAATTTATTTTGCCGTGTAGAAATACACAACTTGTACCAATGCATCAAAATAGCTTCCTTGTGCAGTCTTGCCCCAGGGAATACACACCACACTACCACTCGCTGAAAATTTGGAATTATTTGGAAGCTATTCCATAAATGAAGAGGAGAAAAGAGGGAAGAACAGAATTTGGATTTTCAAAACAATAAAATGGTTAATCCTAGAACTGGTGGTGTCCACTTTCCTGAGAGGAGGCCCTTTCTACTTTACTAACATTCAGTGTATGTGTAAGTCAGTGAGCAGAAGGCAGGTGGGAGAGGAGCTGGAGGAGACCCAAAGCTTCCCTGCAGGAAGTCAGCAGGTAAAGCTTTGACCTTCAACCTCACTGCTACTAACTCAGGGGCAGAGTCTTGGGTTTGTCTATTTGTTTACTCATACTGCCAACCAAATACTTTTTTTTTAATAGGTCTCTACTGGGTACCAAGAATATAAAAAAAGGTCTTGCTTTTAAGAAATCATCTATTTGGTAAGAAAAGCCTCTAAGCAAACAAATAGATACAATGTATATTTAGCGTTGTAATGGATACAACACTAAAGGTTTGCATGAAGTACATATGGAAAAGCGCCTTTTCTAAAATAAAAGAAATGACCTCAAAAAGAGAAGCTTCATGGATAAGTGAGCAGTCATGAAGATCTGTTAATAACAATACATTATATTATTGTATATTATTTACAGATTTGCACTGGTCCTCTATTACTTTAAAAGGCCAAATATTTCCACCAGGAACAATTTTTCTTTATCTACCAAAGATAATGAATACTGGTTACTCTTTTTCCATAACACCTTAGTCTTTTCCTCCCTCCTCTTATCACAATTGGCAAATATATATCTATTTACACATATTTTTAATGTCAGCCTCTTCTACTAGATAACAAGTCCCATGGAGGCTGAAACTTGAACCTAGTAGCAAGATCCTCAAAACTGCAGGCCCAGCATCCAACACAATATCAAGAGCATAACAGGAGCTCAACTGTCCTGTGGTAAGAATAAAAGGGTAGACTGACCATAGTGAAAAACACTGGATGGATGCCTAGAAATGAGATGGCTGTACCCTGCTGTGGACATGCCCTGGTGGAGGCAAGTCAAGGTCAAGATGGGTACTGCCTCCGGCCCCGTGGGAAGAAGAACAAGAGGTGCTATGAATCTGCTGTTGTTGGGCTGGATCTGTCTGATGGGCTGGGCCTATTTTGACTTACCTTTTATTCCTGGAGGTCCTGGTAGCCCTGGATCCCCCCGGAGACCTGTGGACCCAGGCTCTCCCATTTCTCCTGGATGGCCCTTCTGCCCAGGCATCCCCTGATCACCTGAGGACAACAGGGAAGTTCTGCAGACACCCCAATGATGTATGATGACATTCACTGGGGAATCATCTACATTTTTAATTCCTGGGTAACCAGGAATATTTTCCTAAGTTTCCTTCCTAGATATCTGAACTCTAAGGAGAAAAATTCAAAACTTAGAAGGAGAAGATACACTTCAAGATGATTGAAGTTACCATTTATGATTTTAAACTTGCCCCCTTTCCCCTGAATTGACAGGAAATGGATTATTAAAACGCTGGGCTGTAAATGTGGTGTTTGCCTTGGGTCCAAAACAGGGGGTGGGGACAACATTGTGAGTGGCAGGTGACAGGAGGAGAGTGGGAAAGGAGCTGCCTTTGTCAGACCACCCCTGGTACGGGTGCCATGCTGTTGTCTTGGCTACTCCCAGTGACCCAATTAGAAGGACCAACTTCATAGGTGAGCAGTAGGTGAGTTTTAGTGGCCTTGTCTAGAAGCTCAGACGGAGAATCAGAAGAGCCACATGCAAAAAATGAGTAACAATCCCTAAGGTATGTGAAGACTGACTCTCTCGAAACACCAAGAGATAAGGAGCACTCAGGAAGTTTCCCTTTCAAGGTACCTGGACACCCTGGTGGTCCCAACGAGCCAGGCAGGCCTGGCTTTCCTGATGGTCCTTTCAGTCCTTGAACTCCAGGCAGGCCTCGATCTCCAGGGGCTCCAACATGTCCTAAAGAAGGAAGGTGGAAGCCTGAGTAGCTGCAGGTGGTCTTTGAGACATTGAATCTATTAAATAGCCAAACCCACCCCTAGCTATTCTTTTCTATATTTAAATCTTATATTAAATCTTATATACTTTCTAATATTTAAATTTTTCTGCTGAAAGATTACATTAAAGAATAATGGAAAGCAAAATGCTCATAATTCAACCACCTTAACAGAGTTTTCCGTATGTATATGACATGAAAATAATACCCACAATTTTACATTCTGAATTTTTAAATTACCGTTATAAGTAATTTTTCAAGTTTGTCATAGTCCTCTTAATTACCATTTGCAAAAGCTGATAGCTTATTGATTTAATGTTAATTAAATTAAGTAATCTAATTTTCTCCTGCTGTTGGACATTCAAGTTATTTCTAACTCTTTGCTATTATGCCTGTTGATCTTTATACATCTTCCTTCAATTTTTCTCCTAATCAATTATTTCCTTATGAAAAATTCCTAGGAGTAGAATTTCTAGGTAAATAGGGTGATATTTTGGCTCTTTAAATACCAAAGTGTTTAAGAAAAAATCACAGTCTTTATGGAATTCCAACTCTAAATACTTGAGAAGTTAAGCCTGAAACATTTTCTTACATGGCAAAAATAACATTATCACAGCCAAAAAATTAATGACAATTCCTAATATCATCTTATGCTCTTTTTTTTAAATTTTTTTATTGTTGGTTGTTCAAAACATTACATAGTTCTTGATATATCATATTTCACACTTTGATTCAAGTGGGTTATGAACTCCCATTTTTACCCCATATACAGATTGCAGAATCACATCAGTTACACATCCATTGATTTACATATTGCCATACTAGTGTCTGTTGTGTTCTGCTGCCTTTCCTATCCTCTACTATACCCCCTCCCCTCCCCTCCCCTCCCCTCTTCTCTCTCTACCCCCTCTACTGTCATTCATTTGTCCCCCTTGTATTATTTTTCCCTTTCCCCTCACTTCCTCTTATATGTACTTTTGTATAACCCTGAGGGTCTCCTTCCATTTCCATGCAATTTTCCTTCTCTCTCCCTTTCCCTCCCACCTCTCATCCCTGTTTAATGTTAATCTTCTTCTCATGCTCTTCGTCCCTACTCTGTTCTCAGTTACTCTCCTTATATCAAAGAAGACATTTGGCATTTGTTTTTTAGGGATTGGCTAGCTTCACTTAGCATAATCTGCTCTAATGCCATCCATTTCCCTGCAAATTCTATGATTTTGTCATTTTTTAATGCAGAGTAATACTCCATTGTGTATAAATGCCACATTTTTTTTATCCATTCATCTATTGAAGGGCATCTAGGTTGGTTCCACAGTCTTGCTATTGTGAATTGTGCTGCTATGAACATCGATGTAGCAGTGTCCCTGTAGCATGCTCTTTTTAGGTCTTTAGGGAATAGACCAAGAAGGGGAATAGCTGGGTCAAATGGTGGCTCCATTCCCAGCTTTCCAAGAAATCTCCATACTGCTTTCCAAATTGGCTGCACCAATTTGCAGTCCCACTAGCAATGTACAAGTGTACCCTTTTCCCCACATCCTCGCCAGCACTTGTTGTTGTTTGACTTCATAATGGCTGCCAATCTTACTGGAGTGAGATGGTATCTTAGCTCATTCCATACTTGGACCTGTAATGTTCTTCACAGTTGGTTTGTCCGCATCAAGTTCCATGCCAAGATCACAGATTGCAACTAGTGGATATTTCTCTTAAATTTTAAAAAATCTGAAACAGTCCCCTATGTATGACAGTGACCTGCTGAAGAGAAAAGCTGAGATCCTCTCTTGTCTATTATTATTATTATTATTAATTTATTTATTTTTTGCAGTACTAGGGATTGAACCTGGGGCCTCCCACATGCTTAGGCAAGGGTTCTACCACTGAGCCACATCTCCAGTCCCTTTTTAAAAAAAAAAAATATTTTGAGGCAGGGTTTTGCTAAGTTTCCCAGGCTGGTCTCAAACTTGCCATCCTGCTGCCTCAGCCTCCTGAGTAGCTGGGATTTGCAAATGCATGCTACTGTGCCCTGCTTGGGGTCTTCCTAAATAGACCATTCAGCATCCGATTCTTGACGGAGTTTCCCTATGGTTTGAAGTGGGGTGCTCACGTACTCAACCACCACATGTCACTCATCCACAGCTCTGGAACCGGATTGCCATGAGCACACCATGTTTCTACTGGGGACCTTTCGTTAGTTGGCTTATTTTCTTGGCAATTTAGTAAGAATAAAATGACACTCAGACACTTTAAAGGACATTTCTTTGGTTACAAGAGTATGACTATTTGCTCATGTGTTTATTCATGATATAGGACTTTAATTCATGTTTGCAGGTTGAAACAATCGTCTGTGCTGAAAACCAATGGCCAAATCTGTAGACAAGCTCAGCTCTGTACTCACAAACCCATGGGGGTGTAATCTTTATGTACTACTGTAGGAGTAACTTTCGGTTTGCAGCTAGCCGCTGTAAGCAGCTCAGAGTGCTTGAAAAACCTACAGGAACTCCTGCAGGATGGGGCTCTCTGCTCTAGCAAGCCCTCTGAGAAACCACATCCTTAGTGACTGAGGTCAGTATTGCCAGGGAACCGAGAGGCAAGGGCCTCAGGACATGATTCCCACAACTCATAAGGCCCCCTCTCATAGGGACAAAGAGCCTACCAATCTGCCTTCCACCACGTAACAATATTTAGAGCTTCCTCATAGTGCGGTTACATTAATCATAAGATGATTGGCTTCTAGATGTTGTATAAGCTGCTTTGCTTGTGTATGATTGGAGGATTCGCCCTACCCAAGCCCAATATCAGTTGTACTCATTTCCACAATAAATGAGCTTGCTTGGAGGTCGGCTGAGGCCTGCCACCTGCCTGTTCTCACCAGCTCTGTGTCCCCCACACCCGCTGCAACTGAGGTAGCCGAGTGACCTACAGCAGCATCTGGCACCCAAAGTCTGCTCCCAGCTGCGCACCTTGGGGCTGGTCACCCCGTTGACCTCGGGTAGGGACCCCTTCCCTGTTCCGTGTGCTGACGGTTCCTTTAAGGTGAGCAAGGAACCCCTCTCTTACCCCCTTTCCTTGTCCTTGTAGAGCCTTGGCTCCTGAGTTGAGGCATCCTCTCCCATAAAGGTTGGCATCACCTATGGCTCTTCCTTCCCCTTGGTTCACCTGGTAAATTCACATAAGGGATTGATCCTCCCAGAAATCGGAACCTAGATTTTCTCTATTGCTCTGGAGACACCATATGGACATACGGCCTTGACCTAGCAAGTCAAGGAAGTCCCCACTAATCACAAGACATTGGATCCTAAACACACTCTTGTTTGTCCTATCTAGGGGCTTCCAGGTCTGAATCATCCCCTTGGGCTCCTGTTGTGGGTATCTTGATCCTTATGGGTGGTTGTCTTAGTGTGACTTTGTTCATACTTGAGAGACTCTAGGAGGCCTCTAATAGGTCCACTAACCAATCATGGGCAACCTTCCCCCTGTACAACGAGTCCCACAACTAGCAGCTCTGAAAGCACTGCTTTCTCAGCGTGGACTTAAAGTGAAACCAAAAGACCCTGATCACTTCTGGCAGAAAGCTGTCTTTTTAGCACCCTGGATTGGCCGCGAAAACATATGGATGAGAGTCTTACACTCTGCAAGGAAAAAGGAGATCCATGAGGGACACATTCCCCCTGACTCTTTCATACCGATCCTTCTAGCCATCATTGCCAGCCTTCAAGGCTCTTCAGCAGAAGATACCATTCAAAAGCATAATGACTCTTTGGAGGACAAAATAAGGACTCTCCAGACCTCTGCCTCCAGTGTCATTGATTCAGATGAGGATAATGACTCAAGAGAGGATGACCCTGATGTTTCACAGTGTCCTGTGGCAACCTCTCTTCCCTTGTCCACCTCCCTTGCTCCGAAATATCCATGGAAAGAATTACACTCCTGCGCCAAGGAGAGACACTCTTTAAGGCCCTCGACCCCTTATCAACCCCCATATTCCCCTTGTAACCCCTTTTCTGCCTACCCAGTGAATCTTGGTTGTGATGCAGAAAATAGACCCTGGATGCCTACTCCTTTACCAGATCTAGCATTACTGAGTCTGGGCCTGACTCTCCTTACTTTGAGGGGGTGTTAAAGCAATGGTCAGCCCAATTACAAACATCTTTTGATTGGATGAACTTTCTTAACTAGTTAAGAAGTTAAGGAATGCTTAACTCGTCCACAATATTTAATGTGGAAAGCTTCCTTCAAGGAGAAGGCAGAACAAATGGCGAGGAACAACCTCTCCTATGCATTGCCATCACTTTAGACACGTTGATTGGTCGTGGTACCTTTGTGAGCCCTCAAGAAAAATCCAGAATTGGAAATATCATTTACTTTGACCAAGTTAAAGATATTGCCCTGAAGAGTCTTAAAAACACCATACCTCCAAAATATGAACTCTTCAGAAACCTGATCCAGAGTCCCCATGAGTGGTTTCCTGACTTTTTTGTCCCAAGTCATTGAAGCAGTTGAGAAGCTTATCCAACCTGGCCCTGTTCAAGATTCGCTAATCAAACAGTTGGCATGGGAGGGGGCTACAAACGAAACTAGGACTGCAATTGCCTCCGTCCGCAGTGAATCCCTCTTTAAGTGGATCTCTGCTACTAAAGAAGTAGCCCCTTCCTCGGGGCCCATTCAGGCTTTAACAGCTGCTATCAACAGCTACTAATAGACAAGAACAATGGACCTTCCCAACGGAGATCCATCCCATTGGCTGGGGCTGTAATCAGCCAGGCCACATTAAACGGTACTGTTCTAAGAATGGCAGCCACCCTGGCCCCAAGACACCTTGCCCTAGATGCAAAAAGGGTTATCACTGGGCAAAGGACTGCAAACTCAAGCCTTTAAATCCCCCCTCGGGGCAACCCTCAGCCCTACCAATAAGAGGGAACAGACACCTGCAAATTTGCTGTACGCCATCCATTTTGGACACCAAACC